AGTTGACCCCGGCAACCACCATGGCCGCCCTCCTTGCCTCATTCAGAATCGACCGACAGGCAAGAACACCGTTCCAGTTCGCAGACAAACGTACCAATTCCTGTCGAGGTCCTCCTGTCTCTTGGATATGCATGGCAAATCCAAATCTGGCGGCTACCCGAACAGACTGGGAGGGGGTGGCCGGGGGGGGGGGGCCCAGACCTGGAAGGATCATGAAATTTCAGGGTCCAATGTGACTTAGTCTCTCTGCTCGCCATTCGAGAAGGAGAACATTGAGAGGAGGCGTCATGACTACTCTAAGCCATCGGCGGTTTGTCCGTGCAAACTGATTGGACCTCTTACCATTCTCTTTCTCCGACGACGTCCATTCCATTCATGTCTGCTTTGCGTACCTTACTACGTACAACCTGTCGTCCTCCAGTCCATCGTTGCTGCTTCATCTATCTCGCTGGATCAAATCTCAGAATAACAGTACATATCCTACGGTCAGATTTACATCAACTTTCTTCCCAGCACGCGGTGCCTATCTCACTGCATAGTACTCCACCCCTTTAGCGAGTTTGCGTCGTAAACCTTCCGGGTTCAGCTCAGTTGGGACGGCGGCTCGACCTTGTATTGTGTTCCAGTGTTCATCAAGGACTGCGTAAACGACTCTCTCTGCAGAGTTCCAGCCAGCTAGAAGTCCCAAGTAAAAAAACGCCTCGGGACTTTCTTGCTCATCTGGACGAAAAAACTCTGCCCTTCTTACCCGAACCAGAGGCGGCTCCGTTCTTGTTCCTACATTATTATTACAAAGAGACAGATCGTCCTTCCCCCTTCTCTCTTTCTGGCCACTCTATACACTCACTTCTTACCTTGCTTTCCCATCTCACGCCCGATCATCTAACCTAAAAGTCGATGCCGTAGCTCTCTTGCAGCCTCATCATCCGACCACCCTACCATCGCATCGCGGCAGGACCCCTGGACTAGCGGCTGCTGCGTCATTCTCTCTTCGGCCCCAACCTAACCTCACCTTCCCTTCCACTCCCAGGCCCCCCCTTCTCTCGAGAGACCCAGACTCCAAGGTTTCTCCTAGCTTGTTCCTTGCCCTAAGGGGAACCCTGTCTCCCGCTCCTCGCCTACCCTTCCCTTCTAGTCAACCTCCCCCTTCTACCTATTGCCTACCTATTTGCATCTCGCCCGCAAATCACCTTTGCACTTTCTGTGGCGACTCCAAGACTAGTCTCTTTCCCAGCTGGTCGGGAGCTAAAGCAGATCTAACGGCTTCTCTTACGCCATGACTTTGGCTTAGACTCCTACCAACGCAAACTTGTCTTAACCCACTCCCTCGCTCTCAGCAATATCCCTTCGAGATACTGTCTCTCTTCATCTCTATTTTGCCAATGACTCCAGTCTAAACACAAACGAACACTCCATCAAACTACAAAAAACAACAACAGCATCTATCTGACACTGCAACGAAAAAACTCGATTTTATCCAAACCCGGCTTTTACTAGAAAGCAACATCCAAAGAACATCTATCTACGATGACGGCGTCCAATATCCTCATCTACCTGCTCCGGCACGATCTTCGCATTGCGGACAATCCTATCCTTCATCATCTCGTAACCGCGTCTGACCACGGTTTCACTCATGTTCTCCCTGTCTACGTATTCCCGGCACACCAGATCGAGATTTCCGGCCTCTTGCGCGAAGGAAGCAAGTCCCCTTACCCAGAAGCTCGCAGCGAAATTGGCAAGTTCTGGCGGTGTGGACCTCACCGGACAAAGTTCATCGCTCAGTCTGTATGGAACGTTAAAGAATCCCTCGAAGGCGTAGGAAGTGGCTTGGCTTTACGCGCAGGCAAATTCGGTGATGTCGTTGGAGACCTTCTTGAAGGATTCGCAGACAAACGCCAAAAGGTCGGGGCGGTCTGGATGGTTGAGGAAGAAGCTACCGAAGAGAAGAAGGATGAGAAGGCAGTGGCCAAAGCCTGCGAGAAGCACGGCGTTCAGTTCAAGACTTGGTTGGACGAGAAGTACTTCATTGACGAGTAAGTGTATCCCGGTTATCAAGACATCTTCGGTCTAACAATTCTCTTTTCAAACAGTCGCGACCTCGGCTTCAAAACCCCCAGCGACCTTGCAGACGTTTTCACAGCCTTCAGAAAGACCCAAGAGCCGCTCCGCGAGAAACCGAGACCTACGCTGGCTCGCCCTGCAAAGGGTTCCCTTCCACCCTGCCCTGAGCAGGCCGTCATCCCTCCCCAGCAAGCACCATTCCAGATCCCATCCACCTACGATGCTCTAGAGTCTGGTCTTCTCAAACCTCTGAAATGTCCTTTCGAGCAAGAGCCAAAGTTCCCCGAGAAAGCGACTTCCGTTCATCCGTTCAGTGGTGGCGAGGATGTAGGCATCGAGCGTCTGGATCACCTTGTTAAGACAGGTGCCATGTCTAGCTACAAGGACACTCGTAACGGTCTCCTCGGAGTCGACTTCAGCACCAAACTGTCAGCTTACCTGTCACTGGGATGCTTGACGGGTCGTCAGATTCATGAGGCTTTGGTCAAGTTTGAAGACGGACAGGACGCCAAGTTCAAAGATACGCCCGGGTATGGGAAGGGAGAAAATGACGGAACCAAGGCTGTGCGATTCGAACTCCTTTGGCGCGACTACATGCGTCTTTGCACAAAGAAGTTCAGAGGACAGCTTTTCCGCGTTTCTGGTTTCAAGGCCGACAAGACACCCAAGTGGAAGTCTGCGGACCCTGAACACGTGGTTTCTGACGATAACCTTGGCGCTTCGCCGGATGATATTCAAAAGACCCTGAACAGGTTCCTTGAGGGAACCACCGGCATGGGATTGATTGACGCTTCGCAACGCGAGCTATACCACACTGGCTACACTTCTAACAGAGCTCGTCAAAATGTGGCTTCCTTTTTGACCAAGCATCTCGGCATCGACTGGCGGTACGGAGCCGAATGGTACGAGTATCTTCTTGTCGATTACGACGTTAGCTCGAACTGGTCCAACTGGCAGTACGTTGCTGGCGTCGGCAATGATCCTCGTGGTGACAACAGAATCTTCAACCCTGTTAAGCAAGCCTTCGACTATGACAAAGACGGAGAGTACGTCAAAGCTTGGGTTGTCGAAACTCGAAAGGTTGGAAAGTTGGAGAATGTGTTCCAACTCTGGACTACACCGGCGGATGAACTCGAACGTCTCGGTTTGAACAACAACATCATGATCACAGACCCCATCAAGAAGATTGATTTCTCGGTGGAAGGGAAACCCAAGACCGGCAGAAGGCAGTATAACAATCGCCGAAGGGGTCGAGGCAACTCCCATCAGAACAACGGGTCCAACGGTGGATCATCACGAGGACCTCCACCAGGATCAGGAAGCTCTAATGGAGGCTACGGTCACCCGAATGGTGCTGCTTCAGACCACGGTTCAACAGGCCACTCTTCATCTCGGTCGCCACCCAATGGCCCTCAGGGATATCGTACCAACAGAGGAAACGGCGGATTCCGTGGCGACTCCCGCGGTGGCTATCGTGGCGGACGGGGTGGTCGTGGTGGTGGTGATGGCAGCAACGGAGGAAGTGGAGGAGGCTACCGAGGGGGCCGTGGATCGTTTGGCGGTGGCAGGGGAGGAGGCTTCAATACCTACCACATTGCCAACATGTATCCCTTGGCAAATAATCAGCCGCGGCCACAGTGGACAACGGCGGCGTCTTTACAACAGTCGTAGGTCCTCTGTAGGTGCAGGAGGAGGGTTCGCGGCAGAGATGGGCAGCGGTATTGGCAGCTTGACCCCCACCGCTGCCCATCGGCCCCCATCATTGCTCGTCGCCGCTCACCGTTGCCTAGAAACCGTCAACATTGACTTGGCATTCTTCAACAATATACCCGTACTTCTGGGAGGTGTGTGACGGTATGAGACGGCTACCGACTATATTGATACACACTGGATGTCGAGATGAATAATGGAGAGAAGGGTTATGCTATGGTATAGCGTAGTGTCGGGTGTGACGCGCCTTTGTAGTGGCGTTGCCATAGAGAATTTTATGGCATTCTTCAATGAAGGATGGGATCAGAGTGTGGAACAGGGTGGTTAGGAACTTGATTGCGCAGTGAGGAGCCTTACGATCACTCGCAAAGGTAGGCTCCTACAGGAATTGTACAATACCCACGCATGAAGCGTGCCCAGCACTTTCTTGCTTATGTATAAATTGGTATTTCGAATCGTTACTTGGCAGTGCGATCTCATTGGCTTGGTTGACTACCTAGCTGATAAACATACTGCGCACGCCTTCTATTTGGAAGATGAGTAAGGCTCGTTGGAAGTCAAGGGTTGTACCTGGCCATGTACCAGGTTTACTCGATGATCTAGAACCTCTCAAAAGTTTGGTATCTTGGAACCTTCCAGTGTCTTGGAGCTGTGTGTCCCATGGATAGAACGACAGAGTCGCACATGATCAAGAAACAGATGTAGACAACGAGCGTGTATGTAGAGGGACATAGTAAGCATAATTGTAACAGCTTGTACAACTCCTGGATACTACGCTTGATCAAAATACAGAAATTGACGCAGCCCTCTCTACTTGAGTTCAACTCCCCCTTCCCCCCGACTACATATCAAGTACGTGAGGTCCTCAGTGAACGGGACACCACGCAGGCGAATCAAAGTCTCGCGATGTTCATCTTTGTGAAAGTGTCAGGCGGTGATATAGGACGTTGGAATAATGCCTCTGGTATGTTGAACTGATTTTGAGGTATCCCGAGTTTTGTCTATTTTGCTTCTTTACTTGAGTTCCACATCTATCGGTACACATCACTTTTCAATAACTTCCTGCCCCCCTTTTACTCGCCTCAGCTTCAAGGCCAGTGGCAACTGAGATAGCATGTAACCCTTTTGTAACGCCACTGAATCCACGTTGATATCCTTTCCCCCTTATCATACCCTCCTCCTCTTCAAACAACAAACTCTACGTTTGACAAACCCTCCCTCCCCCCAGCCTAGAACCTCCCACCAAGAGGCTGCACCTCAATCCCCTTGGGCACCACAAAAAGCCCCTTGGCCTCAACAACAGTAGCTCCATCCGGGTCCTCCATCCTCCCAATAATCCACAACTTGCGATCCGTCTTATCCTCCTCGTCAGGCCTCTCCTTCTGCCACTCCGGCAGCGCCTTACCGACACGCACGATATACAGCATCCCGGGCGTCACAGGCACCTTGAAGTCCATGGCCAGCTTCGCCGTGACGGCCGTGTTCGCAGTGAAATTCAGCGCCGCGAGCCGGCCCATGGCCTCGTCCATGATGGTCGATAACATCCCGCCGTGCACGACGGACGGCCAACCCGACGTTCCCTGTCCGAACATGATGGCGAGGATGAGTTCGCCCGTGTACTTGTGCCGAAACACGATGTTGACCAGCCCGAGGCCGTTGGGGTTATTCAGCGCGGGGCCTGCGCAAAGGTGGTGCGCTGTCCGCTCGGGGGAGAAGTCGCGGTACGGTTCCCAGTTTTCCCAGTCCGAGGTCGGGAGTTGGGGGATCGGGTTCCCCGCGGCGCCGGGATCGGTGTTGGGGGGCATGGAGGGGACGAGGGACTGGAGGATGGGGTAGTCTTCGATGGCTTGGAAGGTGGCGTGGGCGCGGAAGAGGGGGATCTGGTGCTCGTCTGCCTCGACGGGCGGGTATAGGAAGGGGGCCGTGAAGCGGATGGTTGCGATTTGGTCGTCGGTGAGCTTGTAGCCTAGGGCGAAGAAGAAGAGGGCCCAGAGGGCGCGGCGGAGGAGGATTGAGCGGCGGGAGGAGCCGGCGGCGGAAGGGATTGCTCCGACAGCAGCCGAACCGGGAGGGCCGCCGGGAATGCCCCCTACTCCTCCCGGTAGTGTTGACGGTGGTGTCGTCGAGAGGAGGGCTGTGATTTGTGCCGGGGTGAGGTGGGATAGGTTGGAGAGGGCGGCGTTGGCGGCGGCCTGCTGTTGCTGGGTTTGGAGAGGGGACTGCGCGATCGGTGGCGGCGGCGGCGGGCGCTGGGCTTGGAGGCGGCAGGAGGGCGTGGATGTGAAGGGTCGGAGGAAGGGTCGCGGCGCGATGCGATGCGCGGGGACGAAGTCTCGGAGGAGACGGCGAGCGGGCGCTCTGGGTATCATCTTGAGAGGCTTTTTGTCTGTCGAAGTACTACAATTGGCGCATTCGGTTTTTCGCAATGAAACTGAGCGCTGTGTATGGCTGACTCAGTTGGTTAGAGAAACGTGGTAGTTCTTCTCCCCCGTGATGGATCGAGGTGGGTGAAGAAGGAAACTTGGCGATTTGAGCAGTTGTCGATGGAGGGTCTATTTTTGATGGAGACCTAGCTATCTTCATTTGTGTCCCTGGTTTCTCGGTGAGCCTTCGCAGCGACTCGGTGAGCCAACCAAAATTCGGTGAAGGAGCTTGGGCCAGATGCCTCACTTGCAGGCTGCGCACGGATCCTTGCTTACATAGCTTCTGGAGCAATTCCGGTGGACCACGAAGCTTGACGTGATGTCACTGCTACGACGCTTCGATCGGACGGATCGATCTCTGTGGGGAACACGAAACAAATGCATCTCATCGTGGAGCTGGTATCGAAGAAAGCGGCGTGGAAACGTCTTTTTTCATCCTGGATCACGTCTATGTCATACTGCTACCACTCCTATGGACGCCATGCTATCTATTCGTAATGCCTCTATCAACGCCATCAAAGGGGCTTTAGTTGGGGGAGAGAGGAGAAAGAGAGGAAAGAAAAGAAACCAAGAGACAAAAATGAAGATATCTAAGACGTTACCATGAGCTCTCTAAGCCCAAGCCAGGCCCTGAATCAAATCTACGCGGCCATCAGCGTGCTCCAGGCCACCCAGATGCGGCGCGACTTGGGCACTGTCGCCCGCCCGCTCCCGTCCGCCGCAGCGCCGCCGTTGCGCATAAGGACCCGGCCAATTTCCATATAGCTCTCCACGGCGACGACCATGGGGCCGCGCGCTTCCGAAGGAATCCACTTCATAGAGTCCCTCGCCTCGCCATAATGGTCAAAGGCCTTTGCGAGGATGCGACGCCGCACATTGCCGGCGCCTTCGCTATTGGGATTCACGAGGACATCCTTGGGCGTCAGGCCCTCCTCCTTGAGCCAGGACGTGGGCAGATAGACGCGGCCAATCTTGGCGTCTACGGCGATGTCGCGCGCAATGTTGACGAACTGCAGCGCAAGGCCCATCTGGCGCGCTGTGTTGCGGAGGTAGGCTTGCATGTAGTCGGGCAGGTTGTGCTGGCAGTGGCGGAAGACCAGCTCGAGACAGGCCTGTCCGACGGTGCTAGCAACGCGCGCAGCGTAGAGCTCGAGATCCTCGGGGTCCGTGATTGGGAAGGCATCTTTGCTGAAGGAGAGGTCCATCTCGAACCCCTTGAGGAGCTCGGCGAGGGGTTCGCGGGGTATGAGCGATGAGGGGAGGAGGTCCAGAGCCGAAAGAGCGGATTCTGGGAAGTTTTCGGCAGCGTACTTTGCGGCAAGCGGCGCCGAGGTCGCGTCGGGGTCCTTGTAGAGCATGCTCAGATGGCGGTCGAGTTTGGAGATCCAGGAGGCGGCCTCGTCAGGGGTCTCGGCATCGTCGACGAGATCGTCGGCTAGACGGCAGTAGGAGTAGCTGCGGAGAGGAGCAGTCGGTCAGCGATATAGGGTTACATTTAGGTTGAGGGCGCTGGAACTCTACTTACAGCAGCGTCAGGTCGATCCGTAGGCGGCCTGGGAAGACGGAGCTGGCGAGATGGAAGCTACGACTTTTTCTGGCCAGTCTGGTGACCGCCTGGCGGATGCCCAAGATGCGCTCCATGTTGTACTGAGATGAGGGGAAAACACGAGCTCGTAGCAGTGACATGGACAAGGCGTCAGCCGGCTTGTCGAACTTGTCTGGGAATGCATCGCAGACGGCGACAGCCTTGTCAAAGGCTGCCACGCCAAAGACAATGAGCATGTTGGTGACAAGGAAGAAGGTCGCTTCTTCGATTTCGAGGCTGCCAAAGAGCTTTAGTTCGAGTTTTGTGCCACTTTCAATGGCCCAGGTGCCGCGACCCAAGGCCATCTCGTCGACGACCCATAGATAGATGGTAGGCAGTAAGATGGGTAGAGCTGTGCAAGCCAACGGCAGGGCCAAAATGAATTGCGCCGTGATAGTCCAGGTGAGGAGCGCAAAGGAGCATGCCCACACCAAAATCAGGCCCAGGTAGGTGCCTCCACCCTCCTTGGCGATCAGCCATGCACCCAAGACCACGCTGCTGAAGAGCGCTAGCTGGCCGAGAGGCTTCGCCGTTTTTATCCATTTCGGGAGCGTGGCGGGGGAGTTCAGGTACTGAGCATGAAGCACAGGCTTGTTGAGGATGATGTAGAGTTGAGCGGTGATGTAGGTTTGTATGACGAAGAAGAATAGCTCCTCAATCGGGATATCATAGAGGGTCGGTCCCAATACCGCGTTTGGGGGATACGTCCAGATGCCGGTTCTGATCAGGTACGAATCCCAGGGAATCGTGGCTGCAAAAGCAATTGTGACGATGAAGAGGGTTCTCACAACATCGAGGCGCGTAAACAGAGGATATGAGATAAAAGTGAGTAGTCCCGCCAGAGGGATGGTGTACTTGACGTGCCTAGCAAGGGATGAGCAAGTGTTGCTGAAGAAGAGCCCGGCGGCAAGATCACTTACACCAACGCGTAGTCGTAGCCCATCTTGTGAGGGCTGCAGGTCCTGAAAGCCGTGAAGAATCACGAGAATGAGCAGATTCTCAAAAGGAGTCAAAAGATGTAGACGCGGGCTCGGCGACGGCGAAGGTTGATAAGAATTGAGGCTCGTCTTTCGGCGGCTCCTGCCAGCGGCGCTCGCCCTGTCTAGAGTCCGCCCGACTCCGAAGCAGGCCAGATTGCAAACTGTCCTGCGGCTAGGTTGCACAAAAGAAAAGACGGCACCTTGGGGCGTGTGGGAGAGACGAAAGGTGAGGTGGGATTAGATCGGGCGGGTGTCAGCGCAATTATGACGGAGAGGTTAGCGTCAAGTAAGTAGGTAGGTAAGCGTGGTAGGCAAGTAAGGTCAAGAGAAGGTGAGTTAGGCCCAACGTCGGCGTCGCAGCGCTGCAACTTTTGCACCTGAACCTGCCCTGCCGTGTGTTCTATTGCGTCCTTTTCGATTGTTCTGTTGGAGACGGACTAGGTATTCGCCGTTGCTGGCTGGACTTTGTATCCGTAACCCCAAGAGAATAACGGAAGCCAGTCGGCTAGTTCCCGGTGGGAGGAATGGTGAATTGTCCCGAGTGGAGTGGGATAGGGATCCGGGTTAGTCGTTGTCTTGCGGGCACGTTGCTCCGGCTGGTGTTTCCAGGCGCTGTTTTCTTTGCTCGGGGCTCGGACTTTTCTGAAGTTCACAGATTCCAGACGAAGGTAACGAAGATGCCAAGGGTGCGGCGGGACTGTGGTGTAATGTGGTGCAAGATGGACGTGGTGGCGCTTGCGAGGATCCCGTAGACAGAGCTTCTTTCCGGATCTGGTAAGACAATGCGCTGTACCAGGTATGGGAGGAGCTAGGTAGGTACATCTGGAAAGAGAGGTAGGGATGGAGCTTGAATTGAGATGGGATTGTTGAGGATCCAACGTGCAGTGCCAGCGGCAGCTCCCTCTGGCGTCTTTGGTGTGAGCTACACAGCCTGACTGACTCTGACAGTAATCAATTCGGAATGGAAGCTCCAACTTCCAAAGTGGCTGGTCCGGCCCGGCGTGGTTGGTTGGCCGAGTCCGAAGGGAATTTGAAAGTCTATGACGACCATATGCGCGTCCCAACATGGGATTTTGCATACAACCAGCCCACTTTCAGGTTCTAATCGGACCAGGGATTGATGGATGGATAGTAAGCGGGCGCGGATCTAGTGAGTTCTTAGGCAGGTGGGATAGGAGGCACTAAATGCTTTCTTGAAAAGAGAGCTCAAGATGAGATGCGCCCATGTGCCAAACGTGGTGAGAAGGGGTGAGTAAGACAAGGCGGGATGGATGCCAGGTGCCGGTTTGCCTTTCAGGCGGGAACGATTCCACGGAGGCTGTTGGAGGCTGGATTCTGGTACACATGAATTGTTTTGGGGACTGAGCAGATGAACGAGATCCAAGGTGATTCATCACCAACGTCTAATTGATGAAAATGCCCACTTCCCACTTACACACTTCACGGCAAATGGCAAGTCGGAAGACTAAAATGTTACAAATGTCCGAGTCCGCGAAGCTTGGCTCTACACTCTGCTCCATCTAAAGCAGTAGCCGATGAAGCAGGACAACACGATCGCGATCTGCGAATACGATATCAAATGTCTCAACAACCGTTTTGTTTGGTTGTACTTGTGGCCAAGGTACCTAATAGCCTGTCACCCTGTTTGTGCATGAGCTCTCTCATGCGGCACGCCCCTTGCCTCGTACGCCTCATGCTACCCCCAAGCCAGTGGCAGCTCACCTCAGAAAGGAACACAAAAATTAGGGTGAAGTTTGTGCGCCGTCCCGCCCGTCTTGTCTCTTCAACGTTCGTAAGCCAGGAGCTTCCTCCGAAGTCGAGGTGTCATCACTCTCTCAACTCTCACCCCCGAACCGGCCGGTGCGGAGCTCATCCTCGTGCGATTTCATTCCCACCCCCTGCACCTGCCGCTCCGTTGCTTTTGTGGATCCCATGGCATGCGAGGGACAATTGGCCGCCGCTGTCTCTCTCTTCACATGCTTACTGGAATGGCAGGATAGTTGTTCTAGTATGAATGTTAATCAACTTCCCTTGCGTCAATTCTCCATCTGCTTTTCACGTTCCCTCATTGCCTTGTGAGTTGGTGATAATCTCTTTGGGGCACTTGACGATCCCAACCATACAACCTCACGAGAATCTCACAAGCATCCCTTATCGTCTTACATCCAGCGCAACCATCTAGCTCATCTCACCTACATAATAGTCAGCCCGACATATAATATAGCAATGCCTCAACTCGGGGAAAAGCCCAAGAAGGCAATCGTCGTCGGCGCAGGCGCCGGCGGCGTAGCCCTCGCCGCCCGCCTCGCAAAGGCAGGCTTCTCCGTCACCGTCCTCGAAAAGAACTCCTTCACCGGCGGGCGCTGCTCCCTCATGCATCACGAGGGCCACCGTTTCGACCAGGGCCCGTCACTCTTCCTCCTCCCCCAGCTCTTCCACGAGACCTTTCGGGACCTGGACACCACCATGGCCGACGCCGGCGTCGACCTACTGCGCTGCGAGACAAACTACAACATTTGGTTCCACGACGGCGAGCTCTTCAAGCACTCATCTGACCTCGCCGCCATGAAGACGCAGATTGAGCGCTGGGAGGGCAAGGACGGCTTCGAGCGGTATCTCAAGTGGCTCCGGGAGGCGCACACGCACTACGAGATCTCCGTCAAGGACGTGCTGCACCGGAATTTCGGCAAGTTCCTGGATCTCGCAAGGCCCGGGTTCGTCAGACATGTCGTGAACCTCCATCCGCTGGAGAGCATCTGGAGCCGCGCGAGCAGGTATTTCTGGACCGAGAGGCTGCGGAGGGTGTTTACATTCGCCGTCATGTACATGGGCATGTCGCCCTTTGACGCGCCCGCGACGTATTCCCTGCTCCAGTACACCGAGTTCGCCGAGGGCATCTGGTACCCCCGCGGCGGCTTTCACCAGGTAGTGGCGGCGCTGGTGCGCATTGGCGAGCGGCTGGGCGTCGACTACCGCCTGAACACACCCGTCTCCCGCGTCCTGACAGACGGCCAGAAGGCGACAGGCGTGGAGCTCGAGTCCGGCGAGTCCCTCACGGCAGACGTCGTCATCGTCAACGCCGACCTCGTCTACGCCTATGGCAACCTTCTCCCCAAGACCCCGACCATCACAGACTACACAAAGTCTCTCCGCAAGAGAGAGGCCAGCTGCAGCTCCATCTCCTTTTACTGGTGCATGGACCGCAAGATCCCCGAGCTGTCCGTCCACAACATCTTCCTCGCCGAGGAGTACCAGGAGTCCTTTGACGCCATCTTCAAGCGCCACTCCCTCCCCAATCAGCCCAGCTTCTACGTCAACGTGCCCAGCAGGATCGATCCCTCGGCGGCACCCGAGGGAAAGGACACCGTCATCGTCCTCGTGCCCGTCGGTCACCTCCAGGAGTCAAAGGGCGACGGGCCGGGACTGACGTCGGACCCGAAGCACTGGGACGACATCGTCGCCCGCGCCCGCGCCGCCGTCGTGGAGATTGTGAGCGCCAGGACGGGCTGCGCGCCCCTGACTGATTCCATTACGCATGAGATCGTCAACACGCCCCTGACGTGGGAAGATAAGTTCAACCTCGACAAGGGTGCCATCTTGGGCCTGACGCACGGCATCTTCAATGTTCTTGCTTTCCGCCCGCGTACACGCGCAGAGGGCTTGGAGAATGCGTATTTCGTCGGCGCCAGCACGCACCCTGGTACTGGCGTGCCAATCGTCATGGCTGGCGCCAAGATCACGGCTGAGCAAATTCTCGATGACCGGGGATTGGAAGTGCCCTGGGCCAGGGGCTTCGACGGCATTTTGAAACCGCAGAGCCTGTCACCGGGTAACAAGAAGCTGGATAACGTACGGTACGGATTCCACTTCGGATCCGAGGAAGTTGCTGTCTTGTCTATCGGACTGGTTTTGGCGTTGATTTACCTTGTCTTTTGGCCTACCGTACAACCATGGGTTTGCTAACTTTGCTATGTAAGCTAAGTACGAAAGGAACGACTTGTTTTCGGGAGCATCTTTTGGGTTAAAATAGACACCTTACTTCACAATACTGAATGGGATATATCGGTTCTGGATGGGTCCCACTCGCTCAAGTGCCATTCCTCAATGATACTGTTCACAAACCCAATGGCACCGATGAGACTTTAGAAATCATTCAATCGTTGCTGCCGATGAGGGGTAGCTTGTTTCTCTGAAGTCAAATCTGCGGAGCAAAGTATATGCGTGTTTCACGGCTCATGGGGAGTCTCGAGGTTGTGACCTTCGGCTCGATTAGTCAGTAGGAGATAACATGCTATTACCCTCGGATAATGCGCTTGACGATGTCGGAAATGAAGGCAGGTAGGCGTCTCCGACTAATTGGCCAAGTACATAAGGACGGCGTATGGCGCAGCTAGCTGAATTAAGGAGGCCACGCGAGGAATCATGTGTGTAATCCATCGTGCTAGGCCGCGATATTTCTGATATATGGTTTTTGTGGTCGATACTACAGATTTCAAGGGTTCAACACTTTCAGGAAACCTTTCAAATCAAGGTAGCACTCGCCTTCCTCTACTATATCCCGCAAGGCATTCTTTTCGGAATACACTTAGGACGGTATTCGGAGCTGAGTGCTGTTGTCTTCCTTCACCCCGGCCCCATTGGGACTCGTCTGACTGCCTGTACTGATTTCAGACACCACATCAGAGCGAGCTCGAACCGAACAGTCGAAAGCAAACGACACAGTCCTTGGCATTCTTCTCGAAATGTCCCTGGTGTCCCGAGTCTTTCTAGATTTGCCGTGTCTTTTAAAGCCACGGGACCACCCTTGAACCTATCCCCTACGGTCCCGGGCCCCGCACCTCTAACACCTGTACTTAGGGATACCAAGTTGACCTGCACCCTTTGCTTGAAGGTGAAGGGGCCGAATTCATGGACGTTGAGTTCATTCCAATGGAACAGACTTGAGCTACAGCACGCACGATCAAAGGGAAGACGCACCACATTGAAGACTTGGAGAAACATCGAGGCCTCTCAGAAACAACGTCTCCAGTGGCATCCCATCGACGAACATCTCTTGCGAATGTGGGTTCCTAGGTCATGAGAGAGAATGAAAGCGGACGGGTTGGCGTATATACCCAAGAAGTGAACCTGATGAGCATGGGTCTGGGTGGTAGTTTGGTCTTGCCGCAGCGGTGCAAGGTATTGGGGAATGCATAGAACCGTCCTCGCCTTCCAGAAAAGTTCAGCATCTCGTCAAACTGCACGCAGAAAGGTGGTTTCCTCAGCGGCATCGTCCAATGAATGTGCCCCTGAATCCTTGAACCTACGCTCCTACGGGAAAAGCTGGATTAGACACAGAAACCACAAGTCCAATAATCGACTAATTGCGCGAGACCGCCGTCCGATAAACCAATCACGTAGCCCCCGCGGTCTTTGTGAATGGCGTACTTGAACGGCTCGTGAAGCCGGAGCCACTCAGTGCGTAAGATCGCGGTATCGAGATAGGTGACAGGTTGTCGTGTGGCGATTTCATTATTATAAAAGCAACCAAATTATTTGTTAGAGGATTATGAAATCAAATATGACCAAATATGGTCCACAAGCATGCACGTTCCAGAGAAACGGCAGACTTGTTGAATCTTCCCCAGTGGCGTATTCTCGATACCGGCGGTAGCTAAGGTCAGCTCTGACCATTCCATGGCTTGCCTACCTCTACGCTCTACACCCTTCGTGGCACTAGGTGGCACTACTCGCAGTGTATAAAGGCTTGAACACACGCGGAATACCAAGGAGAGTCTACAACTATCGTCGTACTGATATGATGTGCCGCGATTTCTCACCCGTCAACGTCAGACCCAGGGTCTCATCAACCAACTGCCCTTTCGCCGCGAAGCAACAGGGTATCCTCTCTTACAGTTCTCGCCGTAACTATGTCCATGGCAGGCTAACTTGGCCCCTGTATCCTCCTAGTTTGACGGCAATGCGCCTGTCTTATATACATTTTGAGATTCTCCTAAAGCCCGCATCATGCACGTGGCCCAGCGGTGGAAATGCGACCTTGAGGCGAAGACTGCGGACTAGCAGATAGTAAGACCAAGTGGCTCCAAGGAGGCCTTGCATTCTGGCATTTAATCATACAACTACATCTCACAATAAACCGCTCGAGTCTTGTTCTCACGAAGCAAGATGTAGACTCATTCTGGGACAAGAGGAGTACTCACGGCGGACAGAACTAGTCTCTCCGATGATGGTGCTCCCCACTATATTAGGGTGCCTTAAATCCCCTGGCGGCATCATTCCTCATGCGTGAAGGAAAGGGGGCAATTACTGGCTCGGTCGATCTTTGTTCTGAGTATAATTAACGTACGGCGAAAACTAGCAAACAGCATACCCCAGGTGGTGGGACCCAAAGCCCGCAATCGTACCGAAGCCCGCCGCCATGACCCAACATCGTGTTCAATGAAGGCCATCTCAGTGTCTTCTCGTTCTTTCCTGAGGGTCCGGCGACATATTCAAGAGCATGAGCATAAGCAATCGTCGGAACTCGGAGCACGCTGGAGCGGCGGTCTATGTTCCGCAGTTGCAGAGCGTCAGGGAGAGAAGAGGAGGATAACATGCACAGATGGGCGCCCCTTGAGGCATCAGATATCACCAACATACGAAGCGACTACCCATCCCGGAGTGCTGCCCTACAAAGTGGGTTGAACGCTTTCAACTCCAGCACCATCGTATCACCATACTCTGAATTGATAAAAGTTCCATTGCTCGGTATGGAAATCAGCCAGATGGCATCCTCCCCCCCTTGCTACAACACATAGAAGAGCCTCACGCGGCTCGCAGAACTCAACCACGCTCTCGCATCTTCACTTCGTTTCTCTTGCAGGTCTCCTAATAGCATCTCTCATCTCTGACCGCCCCTCGCCTGCGCCGCCGCATCGCGATTGATAGCCTCTTCTCCGAGTACCTTACTCGCAGCCATGAACCTATCATCACACCACGTCAGCAAGCAAAACATAACCATCCCCCAACACACCACAACACGACTCGAACCATGTACAGCGCCCGTCCCAGCATCAGACAAAGACGGCAAAGACCATACAGATCACCAAGTCGCAGCGCCTGTGCAAGAGGTGAAGGAAAAGAAAAACTCACATGCCACCATGCCACGCCCCCAAACCCCGCATACTCTCAGCCTGAACGCTCGTCATACGAACCAGGTTCTCCGTATCGGAAAAATTAGCAGACAGCTGCGCCAGCTGTGAATGAAGATGTGTCTGCGATACCAAGTCCAGTTAGCACAGACGAAAGTCCATCTCCAGAGCCAATCTTCTCTCCGCTGAGCATCTCATCGCCTCCCTCGAACCCCTCCTTCCCCTCTACCTCTGCCCTTCACGTCATCGCATCTCCCAGAGCAGAGACAAAAACAAGCACCACAAGGGCAAGAGACACTTACCAACTGCCGCGTCTTCATCGCGTTGCCGGAGCTAGACGACATGGACGGTCTCGTCGTCTGACCCATGCTGATATTCCGTGACGCCATGTTTCTTGTGTTTTGGTTCTTCTCACAGTGCTCGTCCTACAAATCTGAGATCAGCTGACAGTCCTGAAAACCCCTTCCCTTCACAAGCTTCAGACCTTTCTTCCCCATATTCCCATTGCCCTGAAGAAAGGTGAAGAAAAGGACTCAGATCAATCCAACGATCGATTCTCATCTCACGCAGACTTCCTCACCACGAAAGATCAATCGCAAAAAACTAGTGCTACTCACCTCGCGCACCACGCGTCGTCAAATCCGAAACAAAGGCCAGCAGAGCCTCAAATCCAATTTTGTAGACCGTTCGGCAGGAGGTAGATAGATGAAGTAACGAATAAGATAGTCGCCAAGAAAAAAACGAGGAGCCGCAGTAGTAGTAATCAACTCCTCTTCAGACGATTTCATGCAACCCCACTGCCTATTTCCCTTTCTATCTCTCACTCTTCTTTCGTCCAAACGCTTGTCTTGTCTCGTCTCACAGCGGGAAAGTTGATGGTGGGTGATTGGCGGGGAAGGGGATATCTTAACAGACGGCCGTTAATTCATGCCTTCTTCACACACACACGCACTTCCCAAATGCTTGAATTTGTTTGGGGGACGGGATGTCGTCGGACTACAGAGGTGGGGTCGCAGGACCCTACCCGCGGGCAGAAAGTAAACAAAAACCTCGACTTCTGATTTGCCGCGTCCTTCGTCATTGAATTTATTGCAGGCAGGTGCCAAATGCCAGCTGCCAGATGAGAATATGGTCCGTGCACCAGCCTGCTGGCTTTACCTTGGGTACCTTAGGTTCCCATCCACGGCAGTACGATAAGATAAGGCAAGAGACAGGCCAGCAACAGGGCACCCACGAATTGGAAACCTGACGCTCATTGAGGCGCGCCTGCAAGGACAACAATGGAACACAGAAAAAAAGAGTCTCGGAGTGGCTGTTTCGCTTCCATGCATCTTCGCCAGGGCATACTTCTGACTTTTTCCCCTGTTCCCGGATCTCCGGCACGGCACATCCCTCGAGGTAAAAGGGAAGCCCCCCTTCCCTTGGAAAGAGAGCCCCTCCATACCGAACATTCAAGCGTCGCTCCCTCGGTGAGCGGTGTGGCCGTGAGGGACCTGCCCGCTGTACCTACCTACCTCAAAAAACATCACATCATACCACGAGGCAAACATACCTACCTACCTTACGTGTAGGTATCATATCATACCATCAGATCATATCGCGTGGAACCCCCCTCAACCCCAGAAGCACGCGTCACGTGTTAGCAACGCACTCTTCCTCTCTACGCTCCCTCTCCTTCTCCTTTCTTTCCTCGGCTTCGGGGACGCGGCGCCAGATGGTGGCTTCGGCTGGTGCGTTCTGTTCCTTACCAGTGCCCCCTTCCCGGCTTCCCCTCCAGGTCAGCGACGACATCTTAGTTCTGAATCAACTAACGTGCCAGCGTCTCATCAGTCGCGCCTGAACCCCCAAAAACCAGTAACAAATCCGCCACAAGCCTCGGCCGGGGGCGACGGAACTCCTGGGACATAAGATCTACTTACATAGCTTGGCGCTTACCTTACACTCAATCCACCTCGTCTGACAATGTTCAAGGGCCAAGATATAATACACGCACCCCTGGTGGAGAGGCTTTCTACATAGACATCACGTTTATTTTCACGATACCAAGTTTCGCACCTGTCTGGCTTCCATTGCGTTCAATTGAACTTCCCTAAAGGGGCTGCCTACTTGCCTGCCCCCTAAACTTTTACATTTATACACACCACTCACCCCCTTTCCTCCTCATCCCCATGGGTTGCGCCCGTCATCGCCCTTCTCTCATCATCGGGAAAACTAAAAATTATGGAAAGCCAAAATCCCTTATCAAGAGAGGCTTCAGTCTGAGCATGTCCCCCAATCGTTGTTTGCTGCCATGCAATAATATTGCCCATCTTTGTATTGCCGGTTCAAAAACCACCTCCGGCTCCTCCCCCTGTCTATGCTCGTTACTTGTAGTCCCCTCGACGTACCTAGCCGTGGCTGTGCCTTGGCTGCAAAAGAAATGTTTTTTCGTAAAGGACAGACACAAAAGAAAAGGAAAGTGCCCGAGAAGGGGCGTTTCGTTTTATACACATCCAACTTCTTGCTTCGCCCAAGATGACTCGACCATGATCAGATCTCACGTCCCATCTTTTGTCTTTGATTTGGACCTCGGTGCGAGTCACGAGTCCGAAGCCACCGGGTTGCCGGGACGTCGTCTGCTATCCAACCTCCAACGCTGGTTTCCCTTTGCCGAACGAGAACATCGATGTCGTCCACGCCAATGCTGCTGATATTACCAGAAGTCGAGGGAATTTGCCCCGTCGTCACCATGCCGTATGTACTGGACTTGCGTCCGATTGAGAAATGAGAAAAGTCGTCGAATTAACTATGTGTTGTGCCGCGATTGAAAGACCGATTCCTGTCTAATCGTTTCGTGTCGTCATCGTGTTGCCGCGCATCGATATGTGAGGAACTCCGGCGGAGTGACCTCTTGAGACCAGCGGAATGCGAAAGCAAGCCTAGGTCTATGAGTATGTAGAGTGATGTAGACATATTCGTCGAGTTCGTTTCGGGTCGCAGTCGGGCCACAGCAAGTCGACATCATTCCGTGTCGCCGGCCGTGACGTCGTCAATGCCTTGGAGCGATCAAAGCAGTCTCGTGAACGATGTTTACCGGACTCCTATAGCCGGTCTCGGCCCGAGACTGCTTTGGCTGCTGTGGGCCGAAGGCTCGGTGTCATTCTGTGATTCACCACTGCCCGCGCTGGCGCTCGCACTACCAGTCAGACTTCTCATGTTCTTCTGTTTAGGTGGAGGAACAAGACCGCTCACCCCGATATGTTGCTCAACCTGCTGTGGCGCGACTGCGTTACCATGGCCGGGAGGGTATCGGGGCACCGGCTGACGCATTCCGTCAGGAGGAGACGGACGACCGTTCATCGGAGGGCCGTGATATCCATTAGGCGGCGACGGTCGGCCGCTGCCACCCCGAATCGACGGACTGTAGGGGTTTCCGGGAGACTGACTAGCTCGTCGCGGAAAGGCTCCGTTCATGCCCATGGCCATGGGGCCTCCGCCCATTTGCATCTCGTCCAGACGTGAGGCCGTCAGCGAGTTTGCTCTCGAGCCTGCCTGCATTGTACCTCTGTCAACGGCACCGTATCGATTTGACGAGTAGGAGAAGAGGGGGTCGTCTAGGATGTTCTCATTCGCAGCAGGGATACTAGCAATCTGGCTGGAACGATTGCGTCCAAAGTTGGGGCGGAATCGGGAGGATCTGGCGGGCGGTGCTCCTCCAGCATCGTAAATCTCGTTCTTGTGGTACTGAGCACGGGTGGGCGGTGCTGCCGCCGCTGCCTTCCGGTTCTTCCGTGACGTAACGCTCATCATGTCGAAGTTGTCGGGGTCGATCATCGGGGCCGGTGGTCCAGAGTTGGGGTCGAAGTAGTCGTCGTCATCATCCTCCTCGTCGAAAACCTGAGCGCTGTTGCGCATGGGATGCGGGCCTCGTCTTGGGGGAGGACCTCTTGATCTCATTCGCATCTCCCTCTCTCTCAGTGCCAGTTCTCTCTGACGCAACTCCATTTCACGCTCGCGAATCGCCAATTCGGAGCCCTCAGGGCCATGGCTGTAACCAGGTTCTCCACCTTCCGGAATATCATCGTACATCATGAGATGTGAGAACTCCTCCAAGTCGTTTCCCTCCATGGACCCGCGTCTCGAAGCAGCCCTAGAGCCCGGAGGAGGCGGGCCACGAGGGAAGCCGTTGGGAGGGCCCCCGTTCATGGGGGGCCTACGCATACCGGGCGGTGGTCCTGGGCCCAAATTTGAGGAGTTGCGTGGGCGCGGTCCTCGGTTTGGCGGCATACCATTGCCATTCATCATGGGTCGGGCACCGTTTGCTGATGACATCCTCGGGAGGGGTGACTGAGATGTGGGGGAGCCGGGAGGTGCCATTGTTACATCAATAGGCTTTGGCGGTTTCTGGCGGTTGACAATATTAAGGTTATGCAGAATAGCGTAAAGCGACTCGATGCGAGGAACAGGGACGCGGGCCTCTTTGGCCAATTTTATCGGTGAACCCAGATACGTCTCGACTTCCATCGGTCGCTTTGCGATGTAGTCCTGCCACATGATGCTCTCGGGGTTCGTGGGTTTCGTCATTTCGTCAATGGTCTTTTGTTTGAAGTCGGGAGATAACTTGCAGCCGTGTGCATCTGCCAAAGCAAGCAATTCGTCGATTACGCCGGTCACCATATCCTTCACACCAATCTTCTCAAGCAATTGGGCGTGGTTTGCTGTCTCGAAGATGACGCTGGCGGGGTGGAAAGCAATGGGTCTGTCGTCAGGTTAGCAAGGCTGCAAAACAGAATCTATTTATATGCAGACTTACCCAATGACCCGCTCATACTGCTGCTGACGGATGTTCTGGGAAACTTTGCAGTCAACCTGAGCCGTGTTCAAAGTCATCGCCAGTGCCTCGGCCATATCCCCCTGGATCGCGTCGGGAATGTTTTCATTTTTGCAGGAGGGTCCAACCCAGATTTCTGTTGAGCCCTTGTGTTCGAATTCACTCTGGCCCAATTGGGAGAGTTCGGCATTGGAAACCAGCGAAAGCACAACGTTGGTGGGGAATCGCTCCTCAATAGCGGCCTCGACACCGAGAGTATGCGTCGTGTTGACGAGAATGCACGTGTGCTGAGGGGTGACGACGGCGTCAATGACGGCGGCAAGGTCGTAGACGTCGGGGAGAGCCTTGATGCAAAGGATCACGTAGTCAAATGGGCCACCGCCGTGTGCGGCTTCTTCGGGAACGCGTACGACTGCGAGTTCAGACTGTCAGCAATCTTTACATTTCTCCGTCGACCATGGTGTATAAGGGCTTACCATGTCGCGGCTTAAATCGTTCGTTGCCAAATACGGGAGACCTGCAAATGTTTGATTAGACGCTCGCCCGCAGGTCGCAGTAGAGAATAGGCGACGTACTTGAAGGAAATTCCGTATTGCGCAACGTGATCAAATCCCGACTTCCACACCAGTGTAACGTCGCAAGCATTCGTCGCTTGTAATCTCCATGATAGAAAGGCAGAAACTGGATTCCCTCCCACTACACAGGTTTTCATTAGCTCGCTGTCCTCGGCCATGCTGAATTGCGGTCGACACGATGCAAGAGCACCGGTCCCTGTATTGACGAGTACTGTGTATATTAAGAAGGAAAAAAAAAGAGAGGGGAAGAAAAACGAGTGTGGTCTGCGATGGGAAAGGTGTAATGGGGAGGTGAAAAGCCGGGCTGACGGATAGAGATAAAGGGACACAAAATTCCGATCCACACCGTCGCACTGATGCAAGAAGAAGCAATTACTGGAGCGAGCGGGCGGGAAGACTGGAAGCCAGGAAAGAAATGGGACGCACCTGAGAGGATCTTGAGCCGGGGCGTCATGGGTGCCATGATGGGCCCAATTGTGGATTAGCTGGTGGGCTGGGTCAAGTGGTCGCCTGTTGTATCCTCTGTACACCTCTTTTCCGCGACAACGCAGACGGCTTTTTGGGCCTTGTACAACGACGGCGAACGGAACAGCAACCAACGTGTGGCTTCGTTCAATCGTCGATTGGAGTCGAAATAGGTGTAGCGACCTGTGTATCGCACACACAGAAGTGGTGGATTGCTCCTATCCTGTTTCCCGTGTTGCAAAACCCCCTACTAGGCGTAGGCGACAGCAGGTCGGCAGGTGGGCGCGTCTGTGGGTGCGTCGGGCGTCAGACCCATTCGACGCTGGCAAGCGTATCGGGGCGTGGATTTGGAGCGACGAGGAAATGAAGCGATTCGGCGACGGGTCGTCAGTCTCTCTTGGTTCTGATAGTCTGGTGGCGCAGGATCGAAAACCAAGGCTTCTCTCGATGCAGCAGAATTAACGAACGTGTCGCCTGTAGTGGCTAGTCGAAGTCGGGGGCGGCTGGTCGAGCTGAAGTGGGCTAACTGAATGGGCCCTTAGAAACGGCGAGACGATGCAACAATAACAGCTGGCTTGGAGCACAGTCAAGAGAATGATGCTAGGTCGATTGGTACTTGCCGACAGCTTGCGGCAAAGGTGAATGTGAGAGTGTGAATGTGCAAGCAACTTTCTGTCTATGTAACGAATGGATTGGCTGCCCCGAGGTGGTGTCGTGTTTCGAAGACTGGCCGGTCTTTTGGTCTTTGGGGAGGACAGCGAACGGGGGGGGGCGTGATCGTCGAAAGGAGATGACGAGATTTAGGATTACAGGAAGGAAAAGGAGACGGGATGGGTAGGATTGAGCTCTGTCTGTCGTTCTTCTCGTAGGACAAACACAGTCTCGCGCTCGGTGCGCGAAAAACAACGAGGATATGGAGGGAAGAGGTAAGGTAGAGAGGGTGAGTGAGGGTTAGAGAATTGGGACGGGATGATAGAAGGAGGGTGAGTGAGCCAGAGGTGGTGGAGAGAGCGGCAATGGCTGGAGGAGGCGTCTAAAAGTAAAGTAGGAGAGGCAGGTACCTAGGGACACACGAGGTACCTCGGGCTGTGCGGGAGGCGTGTAAGAAGCGTGGTGTGTTTCGGGCAAAGACACCTCTGCGGATGCCAGCTAGGGAAGTCACGACCAAGTAAAAGGGAGGTAGGGGTGGGTTGTAGGGAGGTGCGGTGACAGAGTTGGGATGATGGGATGAGGAGAGAGCCACGCGGTGCCAGCAGGAGCAGAGGGAAAGGAAAAAAAAAAAAAAAATCTCCAGTGTGGCCGTGCCGTGGTGCGTACGACGTAGGTACGAAGTACGTGGGTGAATTGGGGGGAGATGGAGGATGAGGTGGGCGGCGTCTGCGGGAGGCAGGAGAAGGACGGAAGGGACAGGGGGGTTTAGGGAGGACGGGCGTGGACCGTGAATGTAGGCGCCGGCGATGAGAGGACTGTCTCTTAATTACCTGACGGTAGGTACCTTAGGCACAGATGCTTGCCAAACTACCAAAGTACTTTGCTTCTATTTGACTGGCGTCCGATTCAGTAAACGTAAACAAATTCACTGAGACAGATCCAGACACACAGCTACCTATTTTAGCAGAAAGAAGGAGAGAGAAACAGTCTGAATGAGAGAAAGAGCGCAGAAAGAACTCCAAGGTAGGAAGAGGGCACGGAGAGCGAGATGGAGACAAAATATTGACATTTCTGGGCGTTTGTCTCAGGGCGGATGGAAAAGAGAAATGGGACAGGCCGGGGGTGGGTGAGCTCCTCACTCTCTACCTTACCTAGCAGTCTACGAGCCGTCACAGACAGACCAGTACAGACGTCAGGCACCAGTTCACCGTTCTAAACGTGGATGGATGGGAGAAACTGGAGACGGGGAGAACGGATGGAATGGGATGGGATGGCAATCGGATCGAAAGTGGGTTGCAATTGGGATGGACTGGACCAGACTGGACTGGACTAAACCGACTGGGACCTGGCGCATATTGGATTGGGGCAGCATGGTATCCGTAGACACTTCTCTCTCACTCTCAAATCCTAATGCCTGTCCTCTCTGCTGCCATGAACCGACAGCTTACAGGCACCTACGAATCTGTGTACCTTAGTCTGCCTCCATCTCTTGCTGCCATCGCGGCATTGCCACGGATCTGATCATGACTTTCCCGGACCTCGCCCCAAGCTTGCGCTGCGCGTCTATCGACAAATGCATAGCTCGGGGGAGAGAGACGAGGGAAACATGAAAGAGAAAGAATTGCCGATGGTTTCCCGTGTGTTTGATTTCCCTTTGCCAACGTGTACTCTCTTGGAGTGAGACCAATGAAGATGTAGGTACTTTGGGTAGATGCCTCACCTCTCCCCCTAGCGGCACAGATACTGCGTACGCCGTACAGCATCCCACCTAAAGTCGGTATCCATCCGATAGTTAGATACGTACCGACCCAGGCAGACCGTTCACATACTGGCTTCGTTTGGTTCTTTTCTCTTCCCCGGGAACTCGGGAGGCATTTTGTGTCCCCATAGATTGGACTGTCCACCTCCTTGCAGCATTCGTAGAGAGGCCCCTTCCCTGTATCAAAATCTCCGATTACAGAGTGTCCTCCTACCGCGTGGTAAGCACTTGGGGCTGGGTTTTTACAGGTAGGTATCAAGGAACCCATAACCCCGGGCGAACATCTACACATTGTATTGGTTTCCCGACGAACATCTCATCGCGCTATCTACTCCTTGGTGGTCCAAGTACCCATGAGTAACGACACCGCCGGCGAGTGCGCGCGGGATCTTCCACTACTAGCTTGGGGGTCTACGTGGTTGTGAGTTGTTGACTGGATCGGGCATGTCCCCCCCTTGTTTAGTCGCTCTTGTATCCATAGTCAGACTAGGCTGCATTAGATCACAAGCAACAAGGAAATAGAGGGCTTATGAAATTTGCACCGGGCGATAAGGAATGCTTCAACCCCATCTAAACCCGACGGGCCGAATGTCACCAACTGGATCATCAAGTGAGGCCCGAGGGAGAAGGAAAGAAGATTCAGAACGATGTGTGCCCGAGAGAAGGCAGAGTCATTAGTTGGGACCAATGGCTAATTTGAAGCAAACAATATTCAAGCCAGTTGTGGGCAGTCAGTACCTTACTTGGTTGAATGTGAAAAAGATACTCCTCCGCATGGTATCCGTACTTTCGTAGTCGCTGCTGTCAAGCCTGGCAGGGCAAGCTACAAGGGGCGAATCTGACAAGCCACAGGGCGTCTTTTGTTGCTGGGTTCCATTTTCTGTGATGCAATGCAGAAGCAAGGCCTTGCAGCGCAAGAGCCGGGCAAACAGGGCGGACGAGTCGGAAGTTGGGATGCCCATGAAGAAAGAAAAGAAAAGTCCAAGCACAATGCTGCTGTACTGCATAAGGTAGCCTGTATCTGTACGCTCCAGCTTGGTAAGGGTACGGCAGACAACGGCAACCCTCAGACTGCTGCAGCCAAGTCAGTACCTAAGGAAAATGCAACAAGACATCCCAATTCCAACTCGTTGCCAAGCGAGGGAACAGACACTGGGGGTCTGTAACACAGTAAGCAACGAGAAAGACCAGCAGCGTCAAGCATCCCACCTCTGCTTGCCACCAGGGGATGTTAGCTCGGTGCCCGAGCGTTGGTAATAGGGCTCGCCTGGCAGATGTTGGTCCCCATCCCGCCGGTCTTCCTCTGCCACCTCTGTACTGCGTATGTGTCGCTGTGCATGTCGTGGCATGGCTTCTGCAACTCTTCTAACTATCTTGCAAGCTGCGTGCCGGAGGTCCGAGCCAGAATAACGCAACGCTTAAACTTTACAATAACGGGGTTCGCCGCATGTCCTATCCGTACAAAGTTGAGAAGGGGATGGCATCCACCCGCCATGTTCGCAGTATGGCTGATACCCGCAGATCTGAGGTCCCCACGTACTGTAGTCTGTCTTTCCACGGCAAGGTCAGCAAGCGGTTCTTTCTTTGGGAAGGGAAAAAATGGACGGAACCCGCAGACTTGCGTGTTGAGGCATGACCAATAGCTGCCAACAGCGTCTGCCAATGCGACACCACCTCATGCCTCTGCGTTCGTGTCGCGGCCACTGGCGTGCTCACTGCTCAGGGGTTGGGCAGAGGGGCCGTATTCTGGAATTCCAACGTGGGGCAGAACAAAGGTATACGACGCAGTCAACGCACTCCCAGGACGCGGGAACACGTCAAAATCGTCCTTCTTCTGTGGCTGTGTTATACCTAGCGTGGAACCGTGAGCTCGCAACCTTCTGGTTGGATTCTTTGAGGTGGGGAGGGGACGGCGAGGGTCTACGCAGTGCGGTACGGACTTGGCAAATTGTTGATCTCCGTAAGCAAGCAGACAGATGACAGATGAATTGGCAGGCCAGACAGCTTGGGCCTATCCTATGTGGGAGATCAAAGGTCAACGTGTCGGAGAGAATAACATACCCGTAAAAGGCAGCCAACCTCAAAGTCTCGGTCGAGTACTGCATGCTTGCTGGCAGCATGCAAGTTTCCTTGATGCAGATACTTCCCACCTCAATCAGCGGGCGGGACGGGACCGTTGAAAAGGCCTGGCGGACCCGGCGGGATCCGGGTCTCCTTGGGAAACCGATACATCGGGAAAGTCAGCACCAAGATGGTTAAGCCAAAGAGCAACCCTGAATGCCTATGAGCTTGTGTCAATTTCATAGACGGAAGAACATTGTCTCGGGCCACCCTTTTTTCGGTTTTTTTTCTGCGAATTGAGTTTGCTTGGCGAGAGAAATTTCGTGTTCCTGATGTGGGACGGTCAATCAGGCAGCGACAGAGAGAGAGAGAGAGCTGTACGGAGTACGCACACGGATACACAGTGGACAGAGGACTGGGAAGAGACTGAAACAAGATGACAGAAAAACCGAGGCGATGACTGAGCTTAAGGTTGTCCTGATGTCCTATTCTTACGAAGGAACAATGGAAGGCATTGGAAGTACCTACTGGATCAAATGGAATACCTCTCGAGAAAGGTAGGTACGAATATGTGTAGACACTTGCTCAGATCTGTTCCTTCCAGAATGGAGGGCGAATCCCCTCCTCAATCAACCTGAGGTGCCTGAGAGAACAGATGAACTGGGAAGGCACCTGTTCAGTCAGGTGCACCCCCAAGGTTTCATGGTACCTTAGATGAAGAAGCAAGTCAGAAGTCCAACGAGCATGAAGGGGGTGGCTCTTTCCGTCCGAACCATGGCAAGACGTTGCCAATGAATCGTCTTGTTTCGTGTCTCCTTCCCTCTGACAAAATGAACACTGTTGGGCAGTTGCGATAAGTATCCCAATTAATGGGGCTACCTTCTTCGCACCTACTACCTCACGAAGACAGTAGGTAGGTAGGCTGTAGCAGTGTTCCTTCCTTACCTTCCATACTCAAGCACATTGAAAACGGACCGACGAATTTCCTTCATCTTCCTGTGTACGGAGTACCGAGTAAGATACGGACGGAATAGAACTGCGGCGAAAACGGTGCCATTCAACGTCTATGGGCTATCCGTCATCTTGTGCACGGTCTAACGTCCACCGTTCCAACATTCACAATCCTATCCCATCCGGGATCCCCAAGTGCCCCCAGCAGCTCATCATCGGTCATCCACATGCCAGTCAATGGCCAGCTCGGATTCCTCACGGCAACGACTTACCAATGTCAACACATATGATTCAGTGCGAATGGCAGAGACCGCCGATACGTAGCCTGCTCGGTAATTATGGCAGGAATGCTCGAATCTGTTCGCATCATGGCTCAATTGGGCCAAGCACGAAACAGGTATTTCCTCCCCAACTCCTTCTTTCTTTACATCGGCCGGACCTTCGGACGCGCTGCCATGATCTATCGACGGGAGTGCCTTTCTAACCTGGTTGGCAAGCCGCAAGCACGACCTGTCCCACTCTTTCGATCGCCTCTGCCATGGTTTTCCCTCTTTTGCATGAGACGACGGCCAAAGCCAGCCAGGAGGACCACAAATGCCCGCCCGCCTGCTTGCGACCCTACCGGCATGGACTGGTGGACCGAAATCCCCATCTCCAAAGACTCCAATTCCCCATCCTGCCTGGCGGTGCCTGTTGCTGGCGTCCCATTCCTTGCACCGTCCCACTCGACTGCCAAGACTACCAACGGGATGCACAACAAAGGTGGATATCACAGGTCCTGGAAACACGGCCAAAGGCCTTCGACGGCATTCATCCCGGTTGACAGACCACAGTTACACAACACCACAACGCCAGGAACACAATCGAGATGAAGACACATCCCAGAGTGGACAGGCCAGTGCTATTGTCGAGCACATGACGACTCATCGACATTCAACGCTGGCTGCTCTTGTCAACTTACATTCCAAGTGCCATCAACGTTAACCTAATACACCCGCAGGCCATGCCGTTGCTCGGATACCAGACCCGAAGTTTTGGATGAAGAATTTAGATCCGCTTGCCTCCGCCTGATGTGCTAATAATAAGCCACGCGACAGGAGAAGCGGCTACAGATATCAGAGAAGCAACTTCATCATCCTGTGCCGCGCACCGGCTATGAGCTTCGGGCAGACATAGTAAAAATTATTACAAAGCAGTCTCACAGGCGAAGGATCGCTTAACAGGTTTGCATCCTAATTACTGCTGCTCAGGCCCAGATTCGAAATTCGGTTGCACCAGCATTATTGGATCTTCGATCGCCCATCGTTCCATCCCAATTGCAATGCCCATGGCCCATTGCACTTAGGCTCCGCTCCACTTGCAAGTCAAAAGTGGCGCCCCAAATCGGTACGCCGCACCCCAAGCAAAAAACTCCATCAACGATCCCCTAGGCTCTCCCACATTCCCACAACCGCTGTTTATTTCGAACATGATGAGCACCAACTACATCACCAGCCTCAGTGCTAACTATTATGACTTCTCTCTGTAGGCTCCGCATGCGCTTTTCTCGTGTCGATGCCGCCAAGAACCGGTAAACACCATCAGGGCGCAACAGGAGTCGCACAAGGTACCATGCATCTCGTTGTCGTTCCGCCTTGATACGGACCATGTTGCAATGCAGCAGCAATAATGTCCCATGACGCCCCCACTGTTATCTATGTATCTTCGGGCCTTGCGATCGCATATCAACAGAACACGCTCGGAGAACGGAGGCACAGCAAAAGTCGCATCGGAGTCCAGAGGCTGGAAAGACCGCCAAGCAAGGGTGAGGCATCTCCAGAATATCGATATACGCGTGTTTATGGCTGCTCGCCGCGTCCTTCGGATAGCAACCGCACCACCATGTACGGATACAGGTCGTCGGCGACAGCAAAGAACTTAAGATACCAAAGAAAGGTGATCCGGAGCCCCGGCAAAAGATGAATTAGGCTGCCCCATTTGTCAATCATACCCCTGACTGTCGGCGTGCCTGGCGAGCCCGGCCGCGGGATTGCAAATCAAATGTCTTTTCAAGCTCCCCTGCATGCGCTCCGGACAGGTACCCAGGCCTGACGAACTCGCAAAGATGCCCTTTGGCCAATTCCCTCTTCCAGGGGTCATCAATCAGATGGCACTTGTCATAGATACAATCTACGGATACTTCGCGACCAAAGGCCCAAGGACGCCCCTGATGGGAGAGCAGGCTGACATGCAGGCATTCTGTGGCCGCAAAGCAACATCAGGATTCGGTTGTTTTCCCGGCCATGTGTGCTGCTGCATCTCAACCTTGGAAGGGAAATTAGCAAGAGACCATCCAAGATGCCAAGTTGTTGTGCAGTGCTTGAAAAGGTGCGCCGCGCATCCCTGCACCCGAGTCGCCTTAGCACCAAAGTTAGACACAGCTTGATATGCCCCCCGGGACTGCTGGTCGCCATCCTGGCCTGCCCTCCACTGGCACCTAGCTAGGCCACTAGGCTAGGGAAAGCCCTCCGTGGTCCCAGCCTTTTAGTCGCAATCCTTCAGCTGTCCTGGTCTTGTCATCAGCAATTCGTCATATTGGCACCCGTCAAATCATCGTCTGTGCCACCTCCCTCTCCTTCTTGACTCGGGCGGCTCGGTTTTTGGAGAGACAGACAGGACGCTAGCCATGGCTAGTCGTTGGTGAGCTCCGCGACGGGAAGACTCAGGGGCCAAATTTTCTCTCGGGGTGTAAACTCTTCAGCTGTCTCGGCCCTTGCAAACTTTTTCAACGCCGCACCGTAATCCGACGTGTCTTTCCCATTGCTCTCGAAATCTTTGGATGACCAATCGCCTTATCCTTGATGCTTTGGTGCTGGCAGTGCGGCCGGCTCATATTATCTCAAGACTCAAAACTCAGGACACCGTTGTTTCCCCCACTTCTCCCGAGAGAAACCCGCTCTCAAAGGCACGCGAACTCGTTTTGCTGAGAGCTACCTTGCCCCCTGGCCAATCTCTATTAAAAAGTTGACCTTGTTGATGGATGACGCACCGAATGCTACTCACGGACACTTGGACGTAACCTCTTAGGGCGACAGGCCGCGCCACAATCATGGATCCTCGTCTATATTAGCTGCCCTCCTAACGCTCCTCCCAAAGACCCAGAAACGGGCGGCTTCTTCGGGGACAACGCCACGAGCTACCTAGCCAAGACACGGTCTCGCGTGTTCAATGCAACCGATAGCGGTTATCAAATCCGCCAGCGCTGGTCGTTGGATATCTCTTATGTCCAGGGCCGTTCCCCAGTTCGCAGGAGCGGCAACGGCAAAGAAAAAGCAAGACATCGCGGAAGGGGATCGAGGCTGACAATCAGCATCTTGTCTGTAGCCAGCCGTTCACACATATTTGGCGATACGAGTACGCGCGTGAATTCCTTGGCGGCAGCGTTACGTCCCTCTCACAGTGCAGTTTATCATTGCCATGCTGGACAAAAGCACCTGCACCAACGCCTCAAGGCGAGTGTGCTGCTCAGCTGAAATGTCTATGGATCGATCATTAGATCATTACAGTCAATGATTAGAGTCAGACAGGCCAGAGATGAGCGTTGACTCGTCGTTATTGGCTACTTGTCGCCTCAATTAACAACCCTTGTCATAAAATTGGCGGGACACTGATCGACCACCGCTTGCGCCGAACGGAACATCGGGCTTGCCTTCGACAGCGCATACCTATGTCTATCTCCTGAGTCTTGCGTCGTTCGGGTTGGCAAACGACACATGCAGCGAGTAGATTCTGCAAGCATTGTTTACTCAACTTGGTTCCACGTTGGAATGAACCTTTTAGCCCAGCTCTTGCTCTACTCTCCTGCTTCCACAATACCATTCATGACCCAGCTCCAGGACTTTATGCGTTCTGTCTTCCGACACACTGGTCATTCGCTCTGGTCGAGAGGGAACTACGCAAGTGCCGGCAAATAAGTCGAACCTAGAACCCAAAAGCTCAGCAGAACCACGTAGTGCCTGGTTCGTCGACTTGACTGGATGTGAGAAAGGAGATCCTCAATGTGGATCAGCAAATGGCACAACTGTTGTGCCTACGGATACCAGTCAACAAGCCACCGAATGGCGCATGGCATCCCTGCTCCAGCTCTCTTTATTAGTGAGGAGACTTTGACCTGTCAGAAATGCTTGCCTATCGTTCTCCTTTCACTTAACGTATCGTGGCTGTGCTGTGCCTGCATGCCGAACCCTCCAAAGTTGGCGACGGCATCAGCTCGCTTCCCCATATGGCAATCTAGCTTTCGGTCCAGGAGCTACTGGTGTGGCGAACACCTCTCAGGTTCCTATGGCTTTCCTGGGGTAAGACCGAAACGCGTCCCGTGAAATCCTTCAACTTGTGACTGGAGCATTGCCGTCAATCTTTGGTTTCCAATGAGACGGTCCAGATCCCAGACCAAAGGGCGGCCCAAATTCTCCGGTCCTGGCGGGGACCTTGCTGTGAACTGGGGTTGTTGTCGACGTTGCAGTACCGCCCTGCCGTTACGCGAAAGAACCGATTCCGGGACTACGCTCAAACGACAGGTCGTCGTCCAAAACCCTGCTCTCTATCTTTTGCTGCACACCCTTCCCCTTTTACGATTCTTGGGACGTTCAAATGAGTTGAGGTCCCCCAACGCGGTCCTCCTCCCCTAGACTCTGTCTACTGCATCCCACTGCAACGGAGATCATTCAGCAAGGTCCACGGATGTCCACTGATCCGGCTCGTTGCGATATTGGCTTCATTGGCTGTCATCTGTCGCGAGACCTGCGGCTCGAGATTCGACTACTGGCGGCATGGCACTTTGATGTCTGCTGGTTGGACTGAGAGACTTATAGCAGCCTTCTCATCTGCATTTTGCCGCCTCGGACTCCAAGCATGTAGTGAAGCACCATCTGCTTATCCATAGTGATATCAACCCGAATACGCTGATGTGAAATTGCCAGGGCCAAGTTGACGATCCCACGTACCGTGGAACGCCAGATGTTGGTCCAAGAGAACGAGGCCCAGACTTGCCACGCCGGCATCTCAGTCATCTCACTTGGCCGCCGGTACATCATACTCGCTAATGAGATACTAATAGGAAAGTGCTGGACCACGGCGACCAGGCCTCTGACCGCTTTCTTCAGCTTCAGGGGTTGTAAAGCTCAGGATCAAATCCTCCGATTCGACTGCCTACGACCAGCTACTGCTGTGCCGTGCTTGGATGCGAGCAGGCGACGGGCGCCTGTTTCGGAACTCGAACGAGACTCTCTTTTGAAGGGCGAGTTGCTGTTCGGAAACGTGTAGAGTGGCGTTGCCCGACGGAAAGCTGCAGAGTCGATGATTTGGTCCTGTCCAGTTTGGCCAAGGGAGATTCGTCAGACGGCCGAGTCTTTGCGGATGCTTACTTCTGCGAGCTTAACTTCAGGCTTGGCAAGGATGGAATTTCGTCCAAGACTACTGAGGGAAATGCTTGGTTCTGGCTAACCTTGCTTTCTGGCCTGGTAGGATCTCAGCGCACCTTGTAGGTTGAGCTCAGACATCAAAGAAGGATGAGAGCTCTTGTAGCGGCATGTCTGGTTGTTTCCACTGCATTGCCTTCGATCTTGCTACTGATACTTTGAGCAGACTTGTCAGTCTGTATTTGTTCCGATGAGCTATCATGAGTCCCGGTGGCATTCTTGATTGATTCTTCTCTCGGTGCCCCGGATACATGCACCTAGTCCTTTTCCCATGCGCTCTACGATCAAGGTTGTCATAGACTTGAAGGATTTGAGGCCCTCCTTTCCGCAATGGATATGATTATTGCTTTGTTTGTGATGCATCCTACTTCTGATAAACTTGAGTGAGGAACGCTGATGGCTTTCTCCCATTGTATGCTAGATAGTGTTGATATACATATCTAAGCACGTACTTCAATACAAATAGTTGATGGGATGATACTGAAATGTGCATGTATCTTCCTAATTCTATTTGTTATCCTCGCCTCAGTGATAGAAAACTTTCCCAGACAGCTTCCCATTTTGCTTTCGTTCTCCTGAAGACGCCCCTATACAGTACTGGATCGTTGGCTTATCGCCGGATTGAACGGGGAACATTGTCAGCCGGACAGGCCGCGACAGCTCCCCTAACAGAGATGCTTCCGCCAAGCTGCTCAGGCTCCGACTGTCGATGACCGACAAGATCGAGGCGAGGCCGGATTCCTTGCTCAGGGGCTCCGAGTGAAGCATGCCAGTCAGTCCGAGGATGATGGCTGTCATGAATGGCTGGATGGCAAGTACCAGATACAGCCAGGGCGATCTTCGTAGCGCTGGTCGGTTGTAGAATATGATCTGCTCGGCTTGATCGACTCTGCACTTGACTCGGACGTCTTCGTGAGGTACCTTGGTCTCGTTTCTCAACTTCCAAGGCATATGTATCGATTGGTCCGAGTCAGATCTCTTGTTCATGAGGGTGAGTTACCACCCGTTGCACATGTCTTTGGTGTCGAAGTCTCAGGCATTTCTGTTCAGACAGGAAGACACGAAGTCGCTTTCGAATGTCTGTCGATCCGAGTCTTTCATCTTATTGAAGGTGGCTACTGTCCCTGCCACCGGTGCAGTGATGGTCCACAATTCGTCTATTGTGAGACGCTCCTGTATTGCGCTCACATAATCTGCCTGGAGAGTATCAAGCGCCGCGGAGTTTGTTCCATTTAATAGCAAGATATTGTAGCTATATGCGCCCGGTAGCGTTGGAAAAGTCTGACTTGGAGCTATTTGAGCTGAGCTTCGTGGCTTCCCGAAACCCCGTGGTTGCGCTGAAGAGCCCAGAGACGTCGTTGAATAAAAGTATGTTGGGCGGCTGGAACATGCCATAATGGGTCTTGTTAGAGATGTAGTCAAAGCCGTCGATCTCCATCTGACTCTCGCCGCCTGTAAAGGTCTTGTACGCGACGCTGAGAGCAATGGGAAGAGCCAACATGAGGATGAGTGTAACTCCACAAGAAATACCGAGTCTCGAGGCGGTGGGCTTGATGCGTCGAAGCCCGTCGTAGTTCCAGAAAGTGAACTCGCCGAATCTGGCCTCCAAGAGAACGAACAGAGTCGGCGTGACGCTGCCTAGGCACAGACTCATGATGCTGAGAAGGAGTCCGACGACAACGAGCTGGTTATTACCAACACCGAGATACCAAGAGATGGATTCATGAGAAACCACCAAGATTCCTAGGGCGAGGCAGATGGAGAACAGTACAGCCGTCCCTAGACCCAAATAGTAGATTCTCTTCTTCGTCGTTGGTTTGCCAAGTAGTGGTAGATCTCCAGAAAGCTGATTGAGATGTGTCTTGAAACTCGTGGGCGTGACGCTAGGCCCATCGTGACTGCTTGTATGCTCAAGATCCCATAATGCGTCGCGGTCACGCATGGCATCTTACTCTGCGCTATACAGGCGAAGAGGTATCGACGACATGTTGCGATCATGAGAGGGACCGTCTATCAGAATCCAGCTTGAGGCCATTAAGGTGGAAAGTGCAACCCCAAGTCAGCGGTCTCGAATCGCAACTATCCGACTGTCTATGTTCTCGAAGTGAATTTCAAGGCGGGAGCAGCTAGAGTTATTGAGATTAGCTGCGGACCCCTACAGCCTGATCTCGAGATGACCGTAGTGGTGGGCAGATGACATACACGAATGAGGCCCAGCAGAAGGACTTCGGAATTCGCCATGACTGACATGCGAATGAGAAATACGGAGAAGAATACCTAGCTCAAGATTTGAATAGGTTGCTATTCCAATGAGTTCCCGGGTGCATGCTATATGTACACAGCCTGACACACCTCGTAACCAGCGTTCGCACAATTGCAGTCATTTATGATCTGCTGTCGCGAGAAGTACCCTCTACGGGTCGTACTTGATGAAATCATGATGTGATGAGGCCCAAATTCAGCCCATTGAATGCTGACAATGATAGTGGCTGTACATTCGTTTCTACTTTTTCTTCGGGTAGCCCTACTGCATTTCGAGATCATTCAAAAAGAGGCTTAAACTAATAGGCCATTCGGTATCACCCTCTATGAGAATACGTATATTTATATGTCATCTAGTATTCAATGGGATTACTCATTGAGATGCTTCTAAGAAGTTTCCTGGAATCTGTATAACATTAAAGGGAGAATAACCCCGATTTCAGCTAGCATATAAGTATGTGTTCCAAGACCGTGTAATGCCGGCATTGAAACAAAGTTTGGTATACATTGCCTAAGGAGTAACTGTTGACGGCCATTTTTGCGATTTCGCTTTAATGTTTGAATTTCAACATCGCCGAACACTAAGCGCTGCATACAATTTGCGATCATTCATGACTGAAACATTTTACACAAGCAATTCAATATGAAAAAGGCAGTGTTTGGAAACATGCATCTTTTCCGCTTCTTGAGCCAAGCCTCGGGAAGAAGATCCTCGAGGTTCTTCATTTAACATCACCATCGTTCAACCCGCTCTGACTTCCCGAAATTCCTCTCTTGCTGACATGGAAGCAAGACGTCAGGCTGTCGCCAGCAGCGTTGCGGGCAGTCAGTGACAAGCTCTTAAGCTCTGTCCCCGTTTAGCGTTGACCAATGAAGCAATGCCGCTGTGGGCTTCGTACCTGATGTGACCAGTAAGTAGAACCCAGCAAAATGTTTTCAGAGTTGATGACACACATCAATGAGTAAACAAAGGTATTGAAATTAGCTGATACTATTCAACCAGAACGAACAAAAAATGGCAGTCTATGTACTATGCGAATATGGGATGCCACGTGTTGAAGCGTGTGATAGCTTGCCTGACGAGTACTGATACCATCCCTGTTCCGTGATAGATGTTATATGTCAATCCCGACCGTATGAATACTTGGGATGTGCATGCAACTTTTCTTCCCTGGAAGTTGATGTCTGCTCAGAAGAGTGGGATTATAGCAAAGGTGCTAGCGGTTTGCCGGTGGGCTGCCGGTGTCTCCGATATTTGGCGGATAATTGATTGCTCCCGGGGAAGGTTTCAGGCGGAACTGAACATTTCTTGACGTTTGAGGTCAAACTCTGTCTTGTTGTGGCGGTGTAATTGGTGGGTGTACGAGTAATGTCAGTTGAAGTGGACGTGCAATCCGCCTCACTGCACTATTCCTAGGGACTATTGACTATTCAATTCATATAGTCGGCATTCACACTGAGAGAACTGTGAGACCGAGTATTGACAACCAAGATTTCGAATGTTTTAAGTGAGTTACGAATCGTGCGGTATGAGAGTAATCAAGAATGATTGCAGATACGGCTTTTATGGAATTTCGCTTGCGTAATTAGTTGCCGGTCGAATCATCATTGAATCTCGAGAGCTATTATTGCAGCCCAAACATGGGCTCCTTTGAAGAGAGCAAAAAGCCGTGCTCCTTTGATATCACGAATCCGGACGTACTTCATATGTAAGGGCTCTTGACTATCATGTCAACCATTTAACTTTATTATTGTAAGAGGCTGAGTTGGAAGAAGAAGTCTTAAAATCGATAGAAAAAGAAAACGAGCATTGTTGAGATAGTGGGCCTATGAAACATCAATATGGTGTTGCTATACGAGGCTATTCCGACTAAGAACGGCGGCCTGAGCCTACTACCTAGTAAGTTATGAGGGATGAGGCAGACCGAATTTCTATATCAAGGCTTTCCTTGTTTGTTTCACAAATTTGGTAACCGAGCTATTGAAATGCTTGACAAGAACTTTATTCTTGCCCTGCTGACTGTCGCGTTGTCCGGATGAACTACCTTAGTCAGTGTCCCAGTGTGCCGGTGCACTAAAGATGGCCGAGAGTTCGTCTTGACAATGGTGCCGGAGTGTGAAAACAAGGGGTTTTCACGGACAAGACATCACTACAGCGTACAAAGTAGGCCACTTGATCACTAGAACATCTCCTTGCTGTTATGCTATTATTTTGAGGGATCCTTGGCCGGCACTTTCCAAGACTCAACCGTGCACCGTGTCAGGTTTGTGTCAGCTGTCTACAACATCAAGTCAGGCCACCCAGACCTAGACAAACGTCGAAAGAGCCCCTGCCAACAACTCCATGTAGGTATCTAGTTAAATACTTCTGGATTGTTCTCGCAAGATACCTATCCAAGATGAGTAACGCATTTCATCTCTCTCAAGCTTCAAGGAACACTCAGTAAATCTGTTTACTCTCTATACAAAGTTGCCAGCAACTCTCTCTTTAATCCTGCTCCACTATTGCCAAGCTACGAAATTTTCGTAGACCGAAAATATTACACCATAACAAAATGCAATTGTCTACCATATTTTTTGCACTCTTTGCAGGCGTTGCCTTCGCCAGCCCTGCTAGTCTCGAAACTCGTCAAAATACAGCTGTACATAGTCTATGTGCCCGGCCCTTTCAACGCAAGCCCTGACTAACATGCTATAGTGCGATCTGTGCCGCAAAGATTGCTTCTTTGGAAAAGGGAGCAATGCTGTCTTTGAGAAGTGTCTGAATACATGCAATAAGGACTTGGGTTGCACGCTTACGCCCTAAGAGCCGGAAGGTATGGTTTCCCAAACTAGAATCCAAATGCTTGACATCGGTTGACACGTAGGACTACCTTAGACATATCTGCGGTATGGAACTATGTATAAGGACCTCAGGATAAGTCTGATTTAAATATTTGGTTCACTTAGAATTGCCAGCTTTTCCTCTCCTTTCTCTGGGTACCTACGATGCTATCTTAGTGATGTTATTGTGTTCAAAAAGTACAGCGACAAATAGCATGTCGAGGTCGCTGAGCATAAACTTGAGACAGAGCGTGATAGTAACCGAAATGTGTGCTAATTGTCTATGTTTCATTAGACTGAATATGCAAACATCCAGTGCTCAGAAAAGGATGACCAAGTCGAGCGTTAGTCCTGTTTCTGCATTCTGAAATCGAGATATAGTGGAGCTTTTACCGTCATTCAACGCATCAAATCACAATGAATTCAGAGAATGTTGTTACGTGAGGCATCTATGCCAACAGCTTGATACTCTTCCAGTAGGAGACATATGCCCGAATCGAGTTTTCCCCCACCGACGTCATCTTGGCCATGGTCGAACTCAAGTTGCGGGAATTGCTGGTGTCGAGGACAACAAATCCACACGACATTTTGGCGAAATCCTCTCCGAGAAACTGTGTGAGACCTGCAGCAGGATTGCCTGGTCCTGGCACAGCATCCACTAGGTTGAGCCAGGTCTCGAGCGGGATGATGGATGAGCTGCCTATCCGCAGTTCCTCAGACATCAGCCTGACCACTTCCTCCCAGCTCTGCCGGGCTGGGTTCTCTAGATGGTAGATTGCACTGAGCGGTTCTTGATGGAAGAGAATGTCGCTGAGGGCTTTGGCAGCCAAATCGACTGGCAGCCATGACAAGGTCTAGCAAATTTATTAGCAGGATGGAATTACCCCGATGTTTAAGCCAGCAGAACAGCCTTTTATCTATCATCTCAACTTACTCCATGGAGGTCGGGGAATTTCCCAAGCTTTTGAGACGAAGCACAAACGGCTACAAAGTGCTCAGAAGCGTTCCAGTAGCCGGTGCTAGAGCCGGCAATCTGGCCGACTCTGACCACCGCCGCCTCGATCTCGGGATGCTCCTGTGCCGTGCGTTCGATGATTTTCTCGCAGACAAGCTTGGCTTTGGCATAACCGAGATTTAGCGTCCAGCTTTCATCCTCGACGGACACTTCAGGAATCAGTGCCTCTCCTTTGATTGACGGATAGTTCCCCACCGTAGAGATGGAGGATATCAGTAACAGCTTTGGCTTCCGTGTCTGGTGAATGCTCGCTTGACGCGCTAGCTGGATGAGGTTTCGCAAGCTTGAGAATGAAGCCTCGAACGACTGCAGACCCATTTTGAAGTTCATGGGCCACGCAATATGTACGATGTGAGTTACCCTAGCCGCGAGACGCAGGTACCCAGCCTCTGGCAAGCCAAGCCACTGATCTGCAGTGTTTGTCTCGTGAACTTCCAACTTCTTCCAAGCGTTGTTGTCGACAGAGATTTTTCTTAGAGCCACCGCACGTTTCTGAGCTTCTTTGGGATATCCTTTCCCAGGTCTGTTCAAGCAAATGACATTGCTCACGTTATCATCCGCAAGGAGCCGCCCAACGAAGAAAGACCCGAGACTGCCAGTGCCGCCTGTAAGCAACACCACGGCTTTCCGCTGCTCTCGTTGGTCGCCTCTGCTGGAGTACTTGTACACCAGCTGTTCGATAAGCTTTGCTTCGGTAATGACTCCGTTTGTCTTGGACGAACTGGGAACCAGTGCCTCAACCAGCTTATTTACAGAAGGGTTGCGGTAGACGATGTCATCTTTGATCATTTCCGTGGCGAGGACGTTGGCTGTCCCAGGCTCAGCGGCGGCATGTGTTGCGCGCAGTGAAGCCGTCAGCAGCCTTCTGAGTCTCGTCGCTTGAAGGCTGTCCATGCCGCGTGCGAAGAAATCGTTGTCGTCCTGCATATCATGGTCGTTGTTTAGCCCCAGAACGTCCTGGGTAACGAGATTTCTGATATGAGACGCAGGCGAGGATAGATCGATTGGTGGTGCGACCATGCTGGCCTCAAGATCACGGTAGACTGCCGCAATCTCATCGGCAAACTTCCTTGACACTGCGCTCCGGAGAACGGTGCCCTTGTCTGATCTCGGGAGCGCCTCGGGAGCGACGACGAGAATCGCGGTCGGCGACGTAATCCTTGCATGGGAATCCATTTGACGGCCTGCTTCCTCGATTGCTGGCCAGATCGACGCCTTAAACCTGTCCACCTCGCCGGGTCCGACGGGTCTGGCAGGCTCTACGATGACACCGAGTTCGAACTGTCCTTCACCGAAAGCAGTTGCGTCTCTCACGTCTTCATGCTGTCTGAGCAGTGATTCCAATATCGTTGGCCTCACCTTTTCTCCGGTGGCAAGACAGATCAAGTCGTCTTTGCGGCCTGCAATCACGAAATCCAGCTGTCCGACGTCATTAGCCGAGACGCATTCCGTGAGTGCCACGACTATATCTTGCAGCTCGAAGCGCTCCTGCCATCCAAACGGCTTCATGCTCAACTTGTAGCTGTAAGATCGTTCGGCTTCGGATTCAGCCTGCGCACTCCCTTCTGCATATGTATCGATGAGGTCAAGCTTCACTTGAAGCGGCCCGAGTATATCAGCACGCAGTTGTAGTCGACGCCAGTCGTGTTCCTTGCCGGGCACGAAAAATGGTGTCATTGGACCGGTCTCCGTCGCGCCGTACTGGCCGACGAGTCTCACGCCCGAACGTTCAAGCCTCTCCCCGACCGAGGTTTTGGGTCTGCCACCACCGAAGCCCGCGTAATCTAGCTTGCGAAGGATTTTATGTCCTCTGCCATCTGGCAAGCCCTCAATCTCCTCCAAGATCGACGGCACTGTCAATAGCGCCTTTGCTTGGGAGTCCTCTATGAGGGCTGCGACGCTGGCACCGTTGGGAAGGGTTGAGGATGCAGGGGCGCAAAATGTCTTGCCGATGTTGAGAGACAGACAGACAGATACAAAGCCAAACCCCTACCATTGTAATTAGCTGGGAAATCGTAGTTGGCATCTATTTTCCCTTCAACTTACGTGAAAGAAGGGTAGTGTAGAAACCGTCAGTCCATGAGCTTCTGTAGTCGATTCGAAATTGTGGCATGTGGCGTAGCTCAGAAAATATTTATGGGAGCAAGGTATCGGTTTTGGGAGACCCGAGGTCCCTGAAGAGTGTAGGATGAGAACCTGGCGGTCATCTTCCGAAACGTAATGATCCGCATCGGCCACGCGAAGGGTGCGATTCTGGTCTTCTGCGGGCTCATCTGCAAGAAATGACTTGTAGCCGGATACAGAGCGGATCTTCGTCACGCTTTCATCATGCATATCTTTTTCATCTCGGTATTCAGCACCCACCGCCTCTGAAGCTAGAGGTATTAGGCGGGGAGATACAAGAGCAAGCTTCGCACCCGTTTCGCGGATGAGATGTCGCGCGGAAGGCGCACTCAGACGCGCCGACAGAAGAATAACCGGCACGCCCATGCCCATACAGGCGAGCACACAGAGGACCAAGCCAACATGGCTCTCCATGAGCACCGCAACGGGGGCGCATTTCTTCACGCTACCATCGGCTTCAGTCTTGGGTGGGTGAAGACTAGTCGTCTGTTCCTTAAGCCATGCCTGGCAGCGGATGATGGCGCGCTGTAGCGTCTCATAGCTCAGGGGCACAAAATTGTGGCCGTTTCCAGCCGCATTTGCTTCGGCTTGGAGGCAGAATAAGTGCTTTGGGTTGTTTTCGGCGTGGAAGTCGACTAATTCGGGCAGCGTCCGCAGGTCGGACGTCGAGGCGGGCTCTAGGCTCACCTTGGGCGTTCTGAAAGACGACATTGGTGCATAGGTATCCAGTTGACAGAGGAAGATGGTCTGATAAGAGAACTTGGATTGTGGCAGCCACCGCGTGTAGTCAGAAGTGGTATGCCAGCGGTATCATCAAGAACAATTCGATATTTTGTGTCACCCTCACTACAAACAATAGGGCAGTCGAGTGAACCAATCAGATGTACTTGGGCCCAAGTCGGGTCACTGAATACGGCGCAGGAGTGGCGGAACTCGGGTCCTTGCCGAAATTCGTTGACCGGAATTGGGATGATGTTCGACGAGGATCATGCGTGCAAAGATTTGGCACATGAGTTCAACAGTATCGAGGCAAGAAGATAACTTGTTATGTTGACAATATGGCATTCAAGAGGAGGTGTCACGAGCTCATCTTTTTACGATTACGATGGCGTATGCGGGCTCTAAACATCTGTACATGCCTTAGTATTAAACACTATGTACTCGAGACTCATGGGTGATTGTTGACGGTGCAGTTGATCTTGAGACCAGCACTATGCTTCATGACGCTTCCTATTATCTCGTTGGCGATTATAGGGTCTACTTGGTCCAGAGACAAAGTGACAAGACCCATTTGTCCATTGTCCCTCGACGGGTATTCGGCGCGAGCCATTGGCCCGAGAGAAGCTCTTGGAGAAGCCTCGCCTTTGACACGCTTTCTAGCTCTTGGGCTATGAACACTATCCGAAATGCCAGCCATGTTGACATCATAGCTGCCATAGCTGGAGTCATGAAAGTAATTTTGATCAGTGGGACCTTCATCCCACCACGAGGGCCGGGTATCTGGTGAAAATGAGGTGTCAGTCTCAAGCGAATTGAGCCAAGACATCCAATCGCTGTCCGGAGTCTGAATAGCCGAGTTCACCGATGAGTGATCTGAGGTGCGCATGCAGATTGGGTCGAAAATGTTGAAAGTGCTACCCGGCAACTCCAGAGCGGGTACTGCCAAGAATGTGTCTGAGTGCCGGTAGTTTGGCATGATCGCGGAAGCGGCCCCGAGTTCTATTGCCTCCACTGGTTCTTCGGAGAGGAGACTTATGTCAATCAGGAGCTGATGTTTTTGATTCCCGCTTGAATCGGTCATTTCAGACTCGGAGCCTTCATCAGACACATCGTCGCCATCACCGTCGCAACTCTCCTCCTCGTCATTACCGTCAGGGTTGTTGTTGGCTATCTCGTCGTCATTGGTCTCCGGTAATGACTGTAAAGATGAATTTGAGCCATTGGCTTGTGCATGCCGACTCCTGCGGCCGAGAATGAGACTCCTGTGGGCTATGGTCAGCCGTAGATCCATGCAGATGATGGCTCAAATTTCTCGACTTGCCTGTTGCGTAGATCGTGGGTGGAACGATCCGGCAGCTCGGTAAGACCGATCTGCTTCCAATTGTTTCCAAACTTACCCATGGCGTCCAGCAACTTTCTATCCTCCTCGGGGGTCCAGGAACAGTGCTTGACGTCTGGTCCTAAGACGTGTTGCCAACGTTTCGCGCATTCTGCAGCAAGGACGTATCTCAGCACCGAGGGGAACCCAGAGGGGAATATTGACGAGGATGATTTCCACTTACGGTCGGCATTTCTACTTTGAACCATGGCGCCTACTTGTGACCATCTATGACAGAGATGGAGGTTAGCATTGATGACCCGAAAGATCGGTAATGGGAGTAGCGTGGGGTGAACCAACTTGCATCCGAGTTGCAGCACGGCCTTCTGCAACCTCTCATCTTCTTCTTGCGTCCAAGCACCTTTTCGGATGTCGACTTGAATCTTCGCCCACCGCTTGCGGCAGTCCTTGTTGGTACGGCCTGGTAATGACATGGCGATGTCGTTCCAGTTTTGGACGCTCCCGCCTTGGCGCACTGGAAGATGGAGATCTTTGTTAGATTTGGCAGCACAGGTAACAAGGGGGGAGATGGGGTTGGCACTTTTCCCCTGCACCTCTCGTTTGAGTATGTCATCTTCTTGGCTCGTCCACCATCTTCGTTCTCTAGTAGGTGGCATGGTGTTCTCGGTATTTTATGTAGACGGAAAGACAAGATGAACTGATGCCAGAAAGTAGTCTATGAGAGAAGCCCGAAGTTTTAAAATGATCTATAAAGGCTCGCTGTCTGATTCGCTCTTATGGAGTGTGATTTACCGCGCGAGAGCTGGTATCAAGATAAATATATGATAAAGGAGGGCAATGACTTGAACGCGCCTCCATCATTCCCCAGCGCAGCCTACTTACAGAGGAACCCCCACTGTGCCGCGCCCTGGCTCGTAAGCGAATGAATCAAATGAGCTCAGTTCTGCATGCAGAACTTCGGTTCAGAGGCTGGAGCTCGGTTTATTCTGCAACAGCGGTAGCGACAATAGGCAGGGGTCGCCTCTTTCGGGCAGAGGAGACGAAATGCCAATACTACATGTATGCGTCAGCCATCGCCCACTCCTACCTAGACTGCTTTCACTGGCTCCCAGGCAAAGGGGCTGTCTTTTTGGCATTTAGTTCAGTGGTTTGGTGCGACATTATGCAATCCTTCAACTCCCTCAAATCGGGTGTATCTGCAGCGTTCTAGATGAGCCATTCTGTCGTATGATTTGATACCGCAACGGGCGCCAAACGGCTAGCCCTATACGGGAGCCCAGAAAGGCAGCGTCACATTAGGCAGCTCAAGCAAGCGCAGAAGAGCCGCTTAGAATATGCCCAATTTGATCCAGATCCTGTCAGACCACAGATTCCGCCATCGAATTTCGTGCATGCCTGGGTGATGTAGATGTTGCTTTCTCCGTTTCGTCGTCGCCTCAACCCACCCCGCAAGTTCGCGACACGTTTCCGGATCAAGGGTCCAATTCCTCCGGGGAACGACGGATTAATCAGACGAAGGTCCCCGACCGGTGAGGCACGGTATGCACGCCCATGCCGCGCTTGCTGTATGTCAGATCCACGTACAGGCCAGCTCTCCCTTACTCAGCCGTCGCCTCCGGGCGAGATGGCTGGCGGGGTCAAGTGACATCTCGGAGTGACGAGCGACGAAGTTCAAGCTGATAGCTAGACAGAAGAAGTCTTATTTATTGGAAATTATGAGAGAAACGTGTTGGTTCTTGGCGCTCTCAAGGATATTAGGACAAGGGTCTGAACCCAGATAGACAAAGACCCCTTCGGACGCATGGGGGATGGGTCTTATGGGCCGCACGCAGTACGAGGATAGACTGCGCCACAGGTCAGAGAAAATGTAAGGCATAATGAATCATTGTTTACATTGAGATAATCACGCTATCAAGGCTTGAAAGTCTTCAACGTGCATATGCAGGCACGGAGGGAGCCTTGGGCTAAGCCGCCAATGGGTGGCGGACGGGTAAGGCGATAGGACCCTGCTCCCTGTTGATACACCGGGCGGGCTGGGCCTGCAATCGCCTGGACGAGGTGAGCGCCCTCGGTTGAGACTGGCGGGAATCACGCGAGACAGACTACCTTGTTAAGGTAGTTTAAAGTATCGTTTCAAGGGTTCGACGATGTGGAAGGATTCAGTACGCCCTCGTGTGCAAGTCCACGGATACATATAAGCTGACAGTGGAGCCTCAAGGTACCTAAGTATCCGAGGAGTGCGAAGGGTGGATCTCATCATCTTATCTGAGCACTCTTCATTGGACGAAAGTCCGGGGATGGAGGCACTTGAGCTTTGTGTTTCTCCGTTGGCTTCCCGAAGAGGCAATCAATATCTGATTGGCTCGGGGTAGAGGTCAGCAGGAGGGGTCGGTCCGCATACGCTAGTCCACGAGTAGAAAGCAATATCTGATTGGCTGCTGTGAGACCCCCACATTGAAGAGATCTAGATCTATTCCTTTGATTGGCCACTTCCAACTTATACTAACATCCTGACTGAACAAAATGATGCTACGCGCGTTGGATCCATTGTGGTTCCGAGACCGTGCCGTAGCCTTGACACTCCCTTCGTCTCTGGAAGACTTCTTAAGATGCTGCCTGCTTTGGATATAAAAGATGAATGCCGTGTCGTGAACACGCCGGTATCGTGTCTCCCGGCGTACCCAAGACTTCGTATACATCACCCTTCTTGAATTCGTCCCAAAGTCTACTTTCTCCGTCTTTCCAAGGACTCTTCAACAACTTTTGATCAATTTTTTTGAGTTATATTTGCAAAGATGGTGATGCTACGGTTGACTGCAGAGCAGTACAGGAAGCTCCCCATCCTGGTGGACGAGTCCTCCTGCGTGGGAAAAACCTATGTCATCACCGGAGGCAACTCTGGCTTGGGACTGGAGACTGCCCGACACCTCGTCGCTTCCTCCGCCGCGACAGTTATTCTGGCCGTGAGGAATCTCAGCGCTGGAGAAACGGCCAAGGCAGATATTGAGAAGTCGACGGGGCGCAAGGGCGTCGTACAGGTATCCTCGATTTGCCCCAAACTCTGACGGCCGAGAAAAACAGACTGACATTATAACCCTGGTGGCAAAAGGTGCGGCATCTGGATCTATCAACCTACGCTGCCGTCCAAACCTTTGTCAAGCAGATTTCACAGGAGCTGGACAGGATTGACGGCTTCGTCTGCAATGCCGGAATCATGATCGACCAGTGGGAGACTTTCGAAGGGGTTGAGAGCAGTATCTTCGTCAATGTCGTCAACACGTTGTTCCTTGGAGCCCTGATGATGCCCAAGCTGAGCGAGAGCGCTCGAAAGTTCAGTATCAAGCCAACGCTCGTCTTCATTGTCAGCGTGTTGGGATACACTGTCAAGGCGGAGATGGACAAGAGCCGCAATGGGAGCGTCTTTGACGGACTCAACGACCAAAAACGCGCGAACATGGATTCAAGGTACGTCAGAGAAGAAGCCCAAGAAAGTATAAGCGGCCCGTGGCGGGACTGACGCAAAACTATCAGATACGCTCTCACAAAGCTCGTCGAGGAATTCACTGTTCGTCAATTTGCGGCCCAGTTTCCCGTAGATCGCACAGGTGTGGTCATTACCATGGTTGCCCCTGGTCTTTGCACCACCGGATTGGGACGCGATGCGAGGACATTTACCAAGATCATGCATGAGGCGGTCCGGGCCATGATGGCTCGTACAGCTGAAGTGGGCAGTCGCACCATCCTGCACGGCTTGGTGGTTGGAGAGGAGGGTCACGGAAAGCTCCTTTCGGGCTGCAAGATCAAGGAATTCTGGGTGCCAGACTGGGTTAGCAACGATGAGGGCCAGCGCTTGCAGAAGGCGACATGGAAGGAGCTCGTTACCAAGCTGGAACAGGTGCAGCCCGGATGCATTTCTCAGATTTCGTAGATTTGATATCGGTTTTTAGGAAGTTAGGCTATAGGGGATATAAGATACCCTCATTAATATTTACTTTTCATTTCAATCCAGCTTCTTTTGCCAAATACTTTGAACCAATCCAAAACCTTGAATGCTGATGATGGTCTACTTGATTTCATTTCATTCTAAGCACTAGGTGCATACAAAAGCTCATCCTTTACAAATATCTCTACGCGTGATTTGCCATATCTCTTTGAGTTAATGATGGTCTATAGATGTTGACTGTTTTCCAAAAGAACTCCTCAACACTGTATAGGTAGGGCATGAATGCTGGCTAATCATCCGTCTCTCAGAAAAATATTAAAATCGGGGCAATTCTCAAAAACAGGTTTCGAGAGTGGAAACAGTCACGTCGTGATCAATCAAAATTCTCGGTTGCTAGCCTTCAGCATAACGTCGGGGATAAAAAATAAGAACACCAAAGAAGAGACTTTAGACAACATTGAGTTTCCATTTTTGAGTGAAAGGCCGGTTACATTTCATTCTGAGTTCACCTGACAGGGTTCATTAAATCATGTATGCTTCAATAACAGGCCATAAGTCATCAGTGACAACGATACGCTAAGTGTTCTGATAGACTGCTCAGTAACTACTACGAGGCACTCTTCCCCTCCTAGATGTCCAAGACGGCACAAAAGTTTCACTCTTGGAGGGAGTTATCTCAATAGAAGGCTGCATCTTTGAAAGGGAACTGCCATCCAAGTCTTCGTCCCAAGCCTGCAGCTCAAGCAAGTCCTCCACGCTCCCGACATGTCTCCCTGCCAGCCATTCGCGCCGCTTGCCAGCCAAATGGACGATGACATCGCCGCATTTTGCATTCATGACTGGCAGATATCAGCATTTACCCATGATATTCTCATCTTCTAAAATATGAAGTGTCGCTAGCTTGACTTACCTTGTCTGGTGGCCTCTGGCACTCTTCTCTCCAGATTGATCTCTGGGTTCACAGAGTAAACCAAGAGGCCCTCGTGCGCGTAGTCGAGCATCAGACTCTCAGAAAGCCGCGTAGAGGCCAGCACGGACAATTGACTGTCGCTTGTGGGCGCCGCGGGATTGACTGAGAATACAGGAACCGCATTCACGATCGTCCTTTCGGAGCTGCGCGATAGGAGGGGCAGTAGGGCCCGAGACATGAGACTGATACCCTTGACATTGGCCTCCCAGATCTTCCACCAGGCATCCACGTCTCTCAACCCAGTCACATCGCCCTGAGGGATGACGGGTTTAGGCGAAGAAGCTGCGATGTTGATGAAAGTGTCAACATGATCCCACGTCGAGCTCACCTCCCGCACGCCTGCTTCGACGCTCGCGGCATCACAGATATCGATGCTCAAAGCAAGCACATCGGGCGTCGGCTTACCGACGTCCCAGGCTGCCTGGAGAACCTTTTCGCGGGTGTCCGAAACGTCGACGCGGTCAACGATGGCGAGACGAGCAATTCCTGCGGCGGCAAACGAGATTGCAGTCGCTTGGCCGAGTTTCCCAGCAGCTCCAGTGATCAAGGCGATTTTTCCAGTGTATGCTGGAATCTCTGTGGCCGAACCCATGGCTTCAATGATATGCATTCTATCAACGTCAAGGTTGGGAAATGGGAGGGTCGCAAGAATTGTGTTCGCAATTTCGATGTCACCTTTCAGATACCTTGATTTACCAAATAATGATGGATTTGATTGCGGAAATTAGGCTGCACTTGCCTTCCGACTAGGCACTCGACGGCTTCCGGTCTAGTACGGAGTATATTCTGCCGGAGACTAGTGCCCTGCGGGCCGAGACCTGAGTTCGATTTGTGGGCCCTGGGCCCGAGTTGTCAGCCCTGCGGACCCGAGTCAACGACCAAGAAGCCGAGCAAGCCATCTTGAAGGACCTCGAGTCAGGCCTAAGTGATGCTATTGTTATCTCGTTTTCCGCTCTTGTTCCAGACTGGTCCCAAATTTCAAAGGCAAAGCGAAGCGATTCACTACTTCGGGCAGACCAGGGGGGGGGGTGTGAGGATCTTGGGACGAACGCCCATGTCTGCCACCCCTCGTCGTCAGGAACATCAAGGACGACTACGTTGCCCTTGCAGAATCAACTGAAGTTCCCGCTCGTTCCGATCAGTCTCATACGAGGACTACCCGCTCTAGGCAGGCACCCCCTCGGAGAAGGTCTCTGGTTCATGCGACTGGCCCATCAGTCCCGAGCGGCTGTCACGGCTTCATCTTAAGCGCTCAAATATTCACAGCCCTGTGCTACAAGCTTCATCTGGTCTTAGTATGATCGCTTATCGGGACAGAAGGATCGTTGAATGCGGCTGCCTTCGAACTAGTGATCCCTCAGGGACGTACACAATGCCCATGGATTGCGCCTCCGGGCCTTGATCCAACCAAAATAAATTACATCTCGCCAGATACGGCTTCCGAATTGAGATCGGGCGCTCATATTCAGCTTACGGAGACCACCAAATCAAGAACCATCCCCAATCAGGTTGAGAAGGGTATCAGCTGAGCCCTGACTGAATAATCCTACGATGTTCTCATCCAAACTATCACCACTTCGGGGCACACAGAAGAGCCTGGCGTCGCTGGAAAGCGCTGCGCCCCATACTAGGAACGAAACCGTCTTTCCACGATGGCCCTACAATGGCTTCATTTTTGATGATTGGGGGCCTGATGGCTGAGGCACAGCAAGCCATCATCGTGAACTGTTACGAGTGAGAAGAATATAAAGTTCAAGGGCCTCGTTTTGACATGATATCTTTCTGATGTCTTATCCAAATATCCTGAACAGCAGCAAGTCTCTCGTGCGCATTCTTTCCCATAGCAGCAGAAATGGCCCGCCACGCGATTGTTCAAGCCCTGCCGGCGCTTCTGGCCATCATCCAGACGGCATCAAGCACGCCCCTGACTTCCTCAATATTGTATCCTCGCAACGAGTCTCAAGTCGTATGGCCGACGGAAGTTTCTAGTCTAGTGCACGGCAAGTCCTGGGCTAGCTTCGGCGAAAAAACGACGCGTTGGTCGTCATACAAGGCCCCAACCTTTGATGAGGTTTTCCTCCCCGAAACTGAGGAGCAGCTCTCCCTTGCTGTAAGTTATCACACATAAAGTTGCTCCATAAGGCTGGGAAGATCTCGGACAGCAAGAATCTTTGACTGATACAGTTCCGTGCACGTAGCTTGAGTACATGTCCGGTAACAACATGACCTGGTTGGCCAAATCTGGAGGTCATGGATATGCCCCGTCTCTTCACACCATCCAGGACGCCGTTTTAATCAACTTGGAGAACTTCAACTACGTCAAGTTGCAAGACGACAACACAGCTGTTGTGGGGACTGGTGTCCGTTTCAATAACCTCATCGATACTGTAGCGGCCGCCGGGCGAGAACTGAGTAAGATCCACCAAAAATGAGAATGATATGCACTTTATTTTCTAACTCGAGGGATATCAGCTGTGGGATCATGTCCATGTGTGGGTTCAACAGGCGCCATGTTGGGCGGTGGCCTCGGACGTCTTCAGGGCCTGCACGGCTTGACCAGCGATGCCCTCCGCAAGGTCCGCTTGGCCCTGTGGAACGGCACCATCATCGAGGCTTCCAATAACGTCAACTCTGATCTTTTCTGGGGCATCAGGGGGTCTGGCCAAAACTACGGCATCGTTATCGAGTCGACGTACGAGACCTGGCCGGCGACGAACGGAGGAAAGCACTACAGTGCGGACCTCGTCTTTACCAAAGACTCCGTGCAACGGGTAATGGAGATTACGAATGAGCTGACTGCGGAAGGTCTGGATGAGAAGCTGGCCGTCCTCATGTTCTTCGCCTTGGATGCTACAACGTCTCAGGTACGTCGGCGCGCCATTGTCAAGCTCACTGCTATGGCCCATGCTAACCTTTCTATAGATCACCGTCATCGTCAACCTGGTCTACTCTGGACCGGAGGAAGAGGGCAGAAAGTATACCGACCGCTTCTCTTCGTTCAGCGTCGATCTCCAAGAGAACATGCTGGGCTGGGAAGAGCTGGCCACGAAGACGGTCCACGGTCTCATCCCGCAATCCTGCGCGACTGGACCGCGATACAACCTGCGCGCCCTCAACACCAAGATCCTCAACCCGGCCACCTGGGTCAACTTCACCGACGCATTCGAGACGTTCCTGGTAGCAAACCCTCTCGCTGCCGGCTCGGCCATGATGATCGAGACCTTCCCCGTGCAGGGAGTCAAGGCGCTTGCCGACGACTACTCAGCTTTCCCCCATCGCGATCACTTTGAGAACGTGATTGAGTCCATCGGCTCGTATACGGACGACTCTGTTGCCGACGCTGTGAACAATTTTTTCGCGGAGTGGCGCGATAAGTTTGCCGAGCCTAGCTCTTCCGGCTATGACAAGCTCTATGTCTACCAAAACTATGCCAACGAGGACGAGCCCCTGTCGGCTCTGTACGGGTACGACGAGTGGCGCCATGAGCGTTTGACGAGCTTGAAGAACAAGTTCGACCCTCGTGGCTTTTTCAATGGATACCATCCGATTCCTCCCAACGCCGCGGGCTGGAGCTAGAGTGGCCATCGTCTATCAATCTTTAAGAATTTTCTTGACGGAGGTGTAGTTTTTTTCATTTGTTGCGATTTCTATTGTATTGAAGACTGCTATAATGGTAGTAATAGAGTTACATCAAAAGTTATCAAAACCACCTCGAAGTAACAAATGGCCACGTAACATGAATGAAGCATTATCTGAGTATCTCTTCTAAACTCACCCTAACACCTCCCTCCTAAACAGCGTCCTGCTAGCACCTATTGTTAGTATAGCATCGATCTTAAACACTGGATAGGTTTAAATGTATGAGTGAGTTCAGTTGAAAAAGCCTACAGGCTTATACTGGTATCACCATGAAATGTATCGAGACTGGAGGTTTCTACCTGCATGATTGAAGCAAGGTCGGATTAATATGTAGGAAATCCGGCATCAGGTTAGCGTGGTCTAAAAATAGCCCCTCCCGTTAGAGACAGGCAACAGCTGAGCTCATAGATTGCCAAGGGAGAGTACCCCGCCTACCCGTAATCTTCACTACCGACATCGACCAGACCGTTTGAGCGACCACGATGAGCCCTGCGCTGGTGTTCATCGAACAGAATGCGGCCGGGATAGGCAAGTCGGATCGTCGTGCCCTTCGTTCTCATGTTATGAGGGGCAAGAATGCCGGCAGACCACGGCCCTCGACGAGAAAACAGACAAACAATGTTCCCATCAAGCGTCAGCTGAAGATACCGCGACGGGTCTTCTGGAATGACTTCTGTCTAACATCATTCCCGCAAGAGCTCGATCCTGACTCCACTAGGCTCATGCATCGGTGTATGGCTCACCCAAGCCCCTACCGCCACCCTAGCCTCTATCCCGAAGCTTCTCTAACTTGCTTGCTTCCTCCAGGGTTCCTTGACATCAGTGACACGCTGTTTCCTCCTCAATTCTGCTATAAGTTCGACATTTTGAAATCGATCTGGGTCAACTGCATACTGGTAGATGAAGCATGTGAGTAATTCATGCAGGCTGATTCCCATTTTACGTTAAACTCACCTCGTCGCCCTAGACTTTCATTCGACCTTGGCCGTGTCGGCATCCTACGTTGACTTCTTTGAGAGAAAACCTACCACGTCGTCGAAGACTTTGCATCACATATGTCAGGCTTATTCGTTGGTCAATCTCAAGCTTTCAGGCCCCCATGCCATATCGGATAGCGCCATTGCTGCCGTCGTCACCCTCGCCATCTACCAGCAGATACACCAGCAACACTCCACCGGTCTCGTACACCTGAAAGGGCTCCATCTCATGATTGAGTTGCGCGGGGGTATCGCCAGATTGATGAAGGAGAACCGCCCCTTAGCCCTCAAGCCACTCAGGTATGCAACCTCTTCCCATTCTGACACTCAATCTCCGAAGCATAGAAAGCTCACCAACAGCAGGCTCGATATTGAATTGGCTATGCAAAATGGGTCACCCACGATTTTTGATAGTCGAGACGTCCCCGTAACAACTGTCTTGTGCGACTCTACCACCGTCAAAGAACAGCTTTCTGCCTGTACTCCCGGGTTGCCCCGCATCATGCTAGATCTCATCGTTTTCGCTGGCATCCTCAATGACAGGGTGAAGAACGGACGATCTAAGCTCAACCCTCTAGACTACACAGAAACGCTCATATCACTCCTTTACCGTCTCTTGGAAGGTGAACCCTTCAGTCAACCTCTACTTGCTTCGGAAGGTCTCTATGACGACGCAGCCCGTCTCGCCATGCTGGCATTTATGACCGGCCTGCTTCCCAACTACTGCAGTGATAACTTTAGTTCGTCACTTCTATGCACTCGTCTAGTTGAAGCTGTTCGAGAGCTCCATTCGACGCAAGCAGAAGTGCGAGCCGGTGATGTTTCACTGCTATTGTGGATTCTTTTTATGAGCGGTATCTCAGTCCTGAAAGTTAATGACCACAGCTGGCTGTTATTTGCCATCGCGGAGACTTGCGATCGTGCAGACCTGCGTGACTGGGCAACCGTTCATCACCATCTCAGTGGGTTTCCGTGGATATACACGCTGCATGATGCCCCCGCGCGGTGTGTATGGGAGGAAGTTCATCGTGTGAAGTTGGAGGATTGTGGCAACGCTATTTCACCACCCGAAGAATCGACTCAACGCGGGCTTTGAAAACTACATGTAGTTATTCGTTATTCGGAACCTAGCTGAAGATTCCTAGGCGGAGAGATACCGCGCTTTATGGTACAACTCGGGAGAAATATAAGACTTGATATCCGGCTCACCCTTCTCGGTGCACTGGTAGCTGATGTACGCATGCATGCCCTTACCGTTCTCCAGCCCGCGGTGGATGGCGAGCTTCTCCAGCATGGCGAGATACTCATTGCAGTAGGTGCCACGGCCGCGCTCCCGAAGCCACGCGACCAGGTTCCTCGCAATCGTCAAATCGTCGGGCCCGTATTTACGTGTGGGCAGGTAGAACTTAACATCGGGCGTGCCGCTCGAGGGCGCAATGTCGAAGAAATACGTGAAGCCCTCACACAGCGCATCGAAGTCATCCCACTTGTTGTCGCCGCTCGCGGACGCCGGAGCGAACTCGACGTCCTCGGGGTAGTCTTCGGGCAGGCCGAGGATGGCGAGGATGAGGGAGCGCAGGTCCTGCAGGCTGGCCTCGGAGACGTCACGGAGCCCGCCCATAGTGATGACCTCCCGGACCGATTTGAAGCAGGTGTGGCGCGAGGTGAAGTACATCTTGAGGCGCGACTTGGACGGCGTCACGTTGTCCATGCCCATGACGTTGGGTTTCATGAGGCGGCCTTCGGGGCTGTTGGCCAGGAAGTGCATCAGGGCGTCTCTGCCGGGGTGCTTGCCATCCGGATTCAGCTTTTTGATGGCAGCGTCCCATTCCCCTAGCGTCGCGGGGTCTCCGCCCTGAAAGAGCTTCCGCGGGAGGAAGTACGACTTGAGCCCGAAGCTGGCTTTCTTATTGTACTCGACAGCGTGCATCAGGGTCGTCGCTGGCGGCTCTCCGTCCTCCAGCTCTTTAGCGTAGACGGACCTGTCTGGGTTGTACAACTCTGCCAGGAAGTGGCGGTACCACGAGAAGTCGACGCCCTGGAGAGCGCTTGGCACTTTCTCCATGTAGTCGAGCGTGGGATCATGATTTAGGGGGTCGGCAACAGTTCCTGAGGAGCCGTCAATCGCCTCCCAAGAGTAGCGGATGTCGGGTTCACCAGACGTGGTGTTCCATTTCCACGAGTACTCAAAGGGCGAGCCATCATAGGCGACAAGAGACTTGAAAATTGCAGTGCCATCAGGGTGAGGCGCTGGGCCCAGCCTAGGGACCTTAATAGGTGCACACTGAGTTAGTGTCCAACCTGTAACAAAAGATGCGAAAGAGCATCAAGCAAGCTGCTTACAATGCAGTGGTAGTGAAAAAGAAGGGTTTCGTATTGTAGCTGAGTGGAGTAACCTGCCGCGTCGATCATGACCGCGAGGTGATACCCAGTGAGATTCCACCAAAATTCAATGTCCTTGTTTTCTGCTGGCGGGAGACATTTCTTGAGTGACTGCCAAACCACGAGTGGCTTCTCTGGCTTTCCAGATTGGACCAGGGTTTGAGTTGTAAGTCCAGGCATTTTGAGCTAGGATAGATGAACACAGACTAAATGAGTAATTGCTTAATTCAGAAAGGCACGAAAACCACTGCTGTGAGCATCTCTTTCAGGGCAATATATGGTGGTGAAGATGAGATGATGGCCGGTTTGCGCCCGGTGTAATTAGGTTGACGGGACCCGAGTTAGCTATAAGAACCATCTCAGGCCAATGATGAGCAAGAGGAGTTGCTCTGAGACAAGTGCCCCCAGCTAGTGTTGGAACATGTCAAGTAAGATGCGAGGCTTGCCTACCTCCACATACTGTGTAAGCCAACCGACACCCATACATATACACTGCGGGCTTGGTCCGAGTCAACTCGGCCCCGGACCCGACAGTCTGCACCGCCTTATTTACACAGCTGTTTCATGAGCGATGGATGATGTACGATGAGATGAGCTGCAATTTCAAGTCTATGGAAGATTTCTTCTCTACTTACTTTATGTATCACGTGATGTAGAGAACGATTCTCCAGTTCAGACCACTTCCAAGTGGATAGGTTGGGAAACGGCTTTCGTAAATAGTAAGTCATGTTTTGGCGACACTGTGTACGGAATTGGACGAAATTCTGCGCAGGCGATCCGTTGTACTTGAATGAATAATCTCACATGAAAGATAATCTCTACAAAATTCTCGTAAACTATTCGCATGTCCCTAGTTACGAGTCGAAAGCTTCACACGGAATCCCGAAGGCTTGGCAAGCCACTTGTTCTCAATAGTCCACTCCTCATCTTGGTTTACCAATTGCATCTAGGGCGGGTTGTCACTTAATCTCCATCAATCAATTAAAAGTGTTAGGTTACTCACATTGTAGCGCTGCAACAACGAGGGGATGAGCTTGTAGATCTCAAAGTAGGCGAGGTGTTTTCCGAGGCAGCTTCGGTGGCCGGCGCCAAACTTGTGAAGCCAGTGATGTTAACGAGATTCCGGTTGAAATCTTCCTTGTTCGTCGCACTTACAGTCAGAAGTGTATTGTACATAGCGGCGTGCTTCTCTTCATCACACAGCCATCTCTCAGGTCGCCAGAAGTCCGGTTCGGCACCATATAGTGATACTTCGCGATGCAGCGACCACGGGTTCTGAGCAGGAGGAGTGAGTTGTCAGCATCAAAATATCTTTCAAACTTGGCCATAAAATCAGAAACAGTCGCCTTACAATTCCGATTCGTGTTCCCGAGGGAATATGGTACCCGTCGATCTCCAGTCCACAATCAGGAACCACACGCTCGAACGGGAGGGCAAATGGTGGGTGCATCCTCGTGGCCTCTTTCACGCAGGCGTCAAAGTAAGTAAGGGATTTGGATTCTTTCCAAGTCGCGAATTTGGAGAGTTGCCCCGCGGCGGTGGCATCGTCGATTTCCTTTTGAAGCTTTGCGAGCGACGCTGGGTTTTTGAGGAGATGGTATATTAAAGCGCCAGATAGAATGCTTGTCGTGTCTGCACCTGCCACGATATTGGAATTGACCCAGGTGGGGAGGAACCTATTTCGAGGTGCGTCAGTCCAGATTTTTCATTGCCACGTGCGAGGCTCAAGATGCTACATGTAGGCACATACATTGCTGGTAGAGTGTGGTCTTTGGCATTCTCAGAGATGAAGCTGGAAAGGAAGTCTTTTTGGCCGAGGTCGCCTTTGCCGCTCTCGATCAGACTCATTCGCTCCCTGATTCTAGCAGCACCGAACTCTACGAGCGGGTTTCTTTTCGCCGAGACGGGAATCAGAGGATTGTCTCTCCACAAGTAGTCAAGCCAAGGCATCTGCGTATTCTGTTGTATGCAAAATGGTTAGCATAGCATCCCATAAGAATCATGTTAAGGATCGTGAACTCTCACATACCGCAGCAATCATGTTGAAATAGCGCCAGTTATTCTCAATGACGTCTTCAACATCGCCACCTTTATCGAGGCATCCTAGTTCCTTTGAAAATGTGACTTCTCCAAGGACGTCGAACATGAAATATTGCATCCACTTGAACAGGTCTACATCAACTTTCTTGTCTAGAAACAGCTCGTCTAGTCGCTCGAATAGGTGTTGCAAAGTAGAGTTCACGACAGGCTCAAACGACATCAGGTTTGTAAGCGAGTAAAGATTGGCGACGGGACGCCTCATTCGCCTATGTATATTCTCGTCGCGAGTAGCGAAGACATCTGGAATCTTGCCACCCTTAATCCTCGGCATAATCGAGTCGTAGAACTCGGACTGTACCAGAAATTAGTGTTGCAACGATATGGAGAGACTTCCACAGGACGTCGGTTTCCGATGCTAACGTCGCGTACCTTTTCAAATCTTCTCTTGAAACCGTAGATCTTCTCAATCGCATCGGGCTGGGAGACCATGACGGCATTGGGACCAAACCGCACAACGGTACCATATTTGCTGTGCAAATTGGTGTGTATTTCGTGGGCGTTGCCAGTGTTTACCCACGATCGACGGATAAAGTTTGTGAGAGCTGCCGTAGGTGGTCCTGGGATGTGTCTCAACCGGACGTACGAACGCGCATTGTCCAGAACAAAGATGAATATGCCTATGACCACCAGGATCCCAAGCATACGACAGGCTCTGTCATCGAATTGCTCAAAGAGTCCTTCTGCAATCATTGTGGCGGTGGTAATGGATGTGTGAATGAATGGCTGATGACTGCCAGCTTGGTATCCCTTTTCGCCCTCGCGACCTATGATACTGGTGGCCAATTCCTGCACGATGGAGACTTAAATGTGGTAGCTAGATGCCAGGCGCAGATTGCATCACTCGGGTTATCGACTGCGCCTACCCTAGCCACCTCATCGAACAACTCGGGTCCGACTAGTCTGGCTTGGATGTGCCTGACGAGAGACAAGGTGTGTCAGGCATCACCTTCCTGAGATCCGACACCAGAAGGAGAGATGTGCCATTTTTCCTTCCAGGCTGTGGACAGCAAGATAGGGGCGGGGAGGCAGAGACCTCTGCTCTCAGCATCCTGCTTCAAGGGTTATTGCTTATTTCTGAGCATGTCTGAAGCGAACTTGCAGCAAATTGATTGTTTGTGAAAATACGGTTGAGAAAGTTTTCTTGCTGGTATTACCATTGAATAAAGATTCACGCCAAAGCTGAGAAGCTTTCTTTTTCGTATAGTCTCACTTAGTATCTCTCCCAATTCTCCCAAGCAAAAACTTGTAGCCCTCCATCACATAACCCCACCGACTCCCATCGGGGTCCCGAAAGAGATCAAAGAGATGAGGTTGACCAGGGGCAAGAGTAAGCCCCGACTGAATGCCCGCATCTCTCATCGCATCAACTGTACGCTGGGCCTGCTCCCATGGAATCAGATCATCTCCAGTGCCGAAAACAATGTGCGTCGGTGACTTGTAGTTGCCCTTGACAATCTGGGCATAAGGGCTTGCCCGCACTACCTCATCCAATGCGGGTTGCTCCAGCTTGTTATATGCGGTCGCCGTGTGTGATGGCACGTCCGAGACCGAAGGCAAGCCACGGAAGAGGACGGGTAGTGTTTGTCCGTGCCAGTTCATGTGCAGCACGACACGGCTGCGGGGGTCTTTTGGTGCTATCCAGCCCGCTGCTGCCATCATCTTTGGAGGCACGTTGTATCCGGTGATGGGGGCAGGAGAGACCCCGTCAATGACATTGTAGGTCTCGTTTGAGAACCCACTCGAGTGGTCTGGGACATTTGGCTTCCGCCAGAATTCGTCCTCATAATCAGTCGGGCAATAGAAGGCAAGGATCGCGTCAGGAGCTGGGATGCCACGCGGTACGGAGGTCCAGGCCAAGGACATGGCCAAGGTGCCCCCGGTCGACCAGCCGATAACCACAGCTCGGTTGCGATCGAGAAGGTTGTTAGTTTTCGTTTGAGTTAGCTTCAGGTCTGGCAGGGTGTTTCTTGCCCAAGCATATGCTGTGGCAACATCAACAAGCGGCCCATTGAGAATGGTCGTCTCCGGGCAAAGCCTGTAATCCACGCTCACGGGCAAGACACCGTTGTCTAAAAGAAGTTGGATTTGACGCAGCCGGACGTCCTGACGTGACAGCATCACATGCCCTCCTCCGTGAACTATCAGACCTGTAGCGGAGCATCGTCAGCTCCGGTGTCTATGTACAAAATGCGAGCTTCTTGATTTAAACCATACCGGTAACCCAATGCATATGCGCTGACGCCTGAGATGATGAAGGGTAGTGAATGTCTGCTCGGAGCGGAAGTTGCTTGTCTGTGTGCGTGAAGACGACTGTTTCAATGCCGCCAGCCTTCTCCTGAGGTATGCTGCGGTGTTGAGATGCATCTTGGACAGGCTGCTTGAAACCGGTGATGACCCTGCAGACCTCAGACTCGCTTTTGTGGCTGCCCGTCCACGAGACGTGTTGGAATCCGACCTGCCTCATTGTGTCGTCCCAGAATTCTGGGGTCGCGAGTACGTAGGGGCGGCCGTCGTCGTACAGCCACCAACCATCCAGGAGACCGAACACCATGTCCAGCCAGTAGTTTCGCGTCGTGAGTTCAACGAGTGACACGAAGCCATGAGGCCGTAGGAGCTTGTTGATGTTGGTCAGAGAGTTGTGTAGGTTGGTAGTGGCGTGGATGCAGTTCGTGGCTAGGACGATGTCGTACTGCCCAAGATGCTGTGTCGCGGGCGGCTTCTCGATGTCGATAGTGCCATACTTCATACAATCGAGCCCGGCAAACTTGCGCTTGGCCCCAGACACTAATGCGGAAGAGATGTCGGTGAAGGTGTACTCGATAGGTACTCCCTTCTGCACAAGTCTGTCCACTACCCATCGCGTTGTTGCGCCTGTGCCCGCTCCCAATTCAACAATGCGATACTTCCCGTCAGGTCCAGGGGTGGAATTGGACAACGCCCTCTCGAGGAAGGATGTGAGAAGCTGGGAATTGATGATGAACATGGGGGCCGTCGCGTACACGTCGTCAAGCACGCTGCGGTTCGCCTTAGTGCCGAACAGAATCGATAGCGGATCCATCTTGCCACTCAGAATCGCAGCCATCTTTGAACCACAGATATTCAGGAGGGTATGCTCCTTAGCATGCTGGGGGAACTCCGAAAGGATGTCCTTGAAACGGCTGCTAGAGGGCGTGGCGTCGACGATCGTCTCCGAGCGGACGTACTGCCTGCCATCGTAGTCGGCCAGCTTGCCGCGTTGGAGGATTTTATGAAAAACGCCCAGCATACGTTCATGTCTTGATATCACTGGGATCTTGGGAATTTTGTCGCCGGGCCTCAGTGCACTGAGGTCAACGCCAAGGTTCGAGAAGGCCTCTACGACGTAGGCGAGAACCAAGTTTGCTTGCTTGTCGGCTACCTTGGTGTAGAAGTCACTGAAGCCGTACATGGCGGCGAACTTGTCAAAATCACCTTTGATGCCCTCAAACTCCTGAGCTGCACCGGCCAGGACCGGGCTGGCTGGAGATGAGAGCAGCTGCTCTGTCTTGAGCGGGATAGGAATATTGTCGATGATGACGCTAGAGTCGGTGCCGTCTGTCGAGCAGCCAGAAGACGGCGTTGGGGAAGAGTCAGCCGTACTGGGTTCTGTCGTTGCCGCATTTTCAATGGGTGCAGCGGCGCCGACGAGAATGTCCGTGAGATCCCCGAAGGTGCAGGTGTCTGTGAAAGAGGATGCGTCGATAGAAACTCCGAACATCTCCTCCATGTCGCTCATAAGTTCCATGCAGAGAAGAGAATCCAAGCCACGATCGATAAGATTCGTCAAGCGATCAAAGTCAGTGGCCGGGCACTCGAGATGGTTTCCTAGCAGTTCTGCCAGTCGCGGTATCAAATCGACGCGCTGGTTTTGCTCTTGTAAGCCGCTTGGCTCTACCACTGATGTGGTAGGTGGAAATTCAGAGTCGAAAATGATGTTTCGATTCGCTGGATTCGTGGATTGGGCAGAAGGAACAGCTACAACGGGATACTTCGAAAGCTGAGAGGTACCCTGTAACCTCTGAGATGCTTGTTTAGCTCCATAGCCATCGAGATATGCGCAAAGAGCTGAGAAGGTCTGCATGTCCTGAAGTTGGTCCTGCGGGATCAAGATCTTGAAAACCTCGTTGACCTCAGACACAATCTCCGTAGCCATGAGAGAATCAATTCCCAGCTCCTCAAGCGTGGTGTCATCATGGAATTGATCTGCCGGGACATCTGTCATCTTGCTCAGCAAATCACGCAGCTCATCTGCCACACTCCTAGCAATGGCAAGGCGGACCGGCGGTGAAGATAGCAATATGCTATTGACGGCAGCCGCGATACTTGGGAGAGAATTGGAAGCTGGCGACGGAGCCTTCAAAGGCGCTGCCTCAATTGTGGCGGGCTTGACAACTGTAGCCGAACTCCGTTGGGATGGTTTGGTTGACACAGCTTCAGATTTATCGGAAGGGTTCGCACGAGACAGAATCTTGGCAAGAGATGCCATCCTCACCCTGCTAAACTTGGCTCCAAAAGCAACGAAAACGAGCTTTCCGGTGATCTTGTCTGTGACAAAGATGTCGTTGCTGCTTTCCCTGTCGCTCGTAGCCGTGGATATCGCAAAAACATCCCAGCCAGGGCTGTTCCCTACGGCCTGTGCCTCACCAAAATCAGGCGACAACTGAACTCGGTCGACGTGTGTAGAGACCAGAACATCATCTGGTGGACAAGGAGCAAGGCAGTTGGCGTATAAGCCGGGGACCTGGAAAAAGTTGTCGATAGCCACGGGTGTAGAGACGAGATCCTGTATGCAGGCCGGCTGTGGCTTGGGCAAGACGACATCGGCAACGACGGCACCGTCGCTGTTGCCTGCGACTCTGCGAACGCCTTGGTAAATGTCGCCGTATTGAACGACTCGGGAAAAGATCTTGTACACCAGTTTACCTTGGACAGCTTCGCCGCCAGGCTGCGTAGCCATCTCGGTAAACATCTGACCCTTGTCTTGGTTCTTTTGCATTCGACGAAGGAGCTTGTTGGTTCGTTCTAGCTCAGTCATGATGCTCTTATCGCTTGATGGCACTATCTCGCACTTTCCGGTAGCATGCGTGGTCGAGACTGGCGATTGTCTACCTGAACGCTCTTGAGAGACGAAGGCGAAGTCGAACTTGTAACCTATCTGATCCGACGGGCTCAAAATAAGCTGAACGACCCTATCCTGCCCCATCCCGAGGGGCGAAGGGATCTCCAGATCATCCACGCGTGCAAAAGGCGCGCAAGCGATGTTCTCAACGGCCGCGAGCTGCTTGGTGGCCTGCATGACCAGCTCGATGTACATAGTCGCTGGACAAAGTGGCTCATTCAGCACAGCATGGCCACTGACGAGCACCTTCCAACATTCGGAACGAGGATTGATAGTGAAAGTCGCCTTTCTGGTGCCACGGAATGTCCCATCATGGAAACCAGATAGCGTAATGAGCACTGGCCCAGGCTCTGGCTCAGCGACAAGAGACTCGGACGCTTTCGCCGGCACTTGGGACAGCTCAGATGAGACCCCTGCCTGAAGGTCGAAGTCCAGCCAATGTCGAGTCTTCTCAAATTGGTAAGGAGGAAGATTCAGGGCTGAATAGCTTTGCTTCTGAAGATGGTGGAAATGCCAGAATTGAACGTGGTGGCCGTGTGTCCAGAGGTTGACGGTCGTGTCTGCTACTGAACTCAACGCGTCATCCCGAGTCAAGTTGACAGGACAGAACAAGTGATTATCGGTGTTGCTGCTAGAAAGAGCGCGTTTAGTGATGCTAGTGACCGCTGAATTAGACCCAGCTTCCAGCCAAGTGCATGCGCCGAGGCGTGCCTCAATACGTTTTACGGCATCTTCGAAGTAGACGGGCGAGCGAGTGTGATCGACGACTTGCTTGGCCGTGATGTCGAACCACGCCTCTCCCATCGAGCAGGTTTCGAAGTGAATCTTGGGCTTGTTGAAAGACAAGCCCTCAACGAGCTTCTCCAAGTCGGCAAGAATCGGGTCGCTGAACCTCGAGTGGAAGCCGTGCGTCACATTTAAGACCTTGGCCCTGCCCTTAGGACTTCTGCTCATGAATTGAACGTGTGCAGCATCGACTGCAGCAGAAGACCCTACGAGGACATGACTTGAAGGCCCGTTGAAGCAAGCTATTTCGAGACGGTAGTTAGAAGAGACGTCCAGTCTCTGCACTGTTGAGATGAGGTCCTTTGTGGTAGCGTAGTCGGCTTCAAGAGCAATCATGGAGCCCCTTTCCGAGCCCCATTTCTGGCGCATCAAAACGGCCCGCCCGTATACCAACTTCAGGCCGTCTACAAGAGACAGAACGCCCGAAACAACCATAGCGACGAGCTGACCGAATGAATGACCTAGAACGCAGTCGACCTGCAGACCGCAAGCGATCCAAGACTGAGCGCAGGCATAGTGAAGGGCAAACTGCATCGTCTGCAGCGAAACCACGTCATCAACTGGCTGGGTCGCAAAAATGCCCGGGTAGATCCCTGGGTGTGCGAAGCCTTGGATGATATCGTTGCACTCGTCAAGATACTTGCGAAGGAGTACCGAACTGTCATAGACGTGCTTGCTGAGGCCCACAGAGCGGGAGGTCTGACCGCCGAAGATGATGACAACTGGATTGGGCTTGGGGTTGATCCGACAGAGAGGTGACTCGGGATTGGAAGCCACAATCTGAAGCTGATTTTTCAATTCTGAAAGGCTGGAAACTGTCGTCGCAAGCATGTTTGGGAGAGTCCGATTCTGCCTCTCGCTCAAATTGAACGCGAGATCAGCTAATGATTCGACCTCTGAAGCCGAGCCCCTGCGAAGAGAGGAGATGTAGTCTAACAGCTTTGCGGCGTTCTCGCCAAGGCTCTTGACGCTGTTGGCAGTAATGATTACGGGAAGTTTATCGAGATTACTTGATGCGGTGGCTTGGTAACTTCGTGCCAGCGTCGTCTTCGAAGGCGGTTCCCTGACAAGCATGGCGGCGATACTACCAGCTGCCCCGTAATTGTTCACGCAAGCGATGAGTGTGTCGGCAGTCCAAGGGATGGTTGCTGTCGGGATCGACATTCGCCCGGGAACCAAGCTAATCTTAGGATGGGGAGATTGAAAATGAGCCTGTCTGGGAATGGCACGATACTGCATCATCAAAAGAGTCTTGATGAGACCAGCAACTCCAGAAGCCCCTTCAGTATGGCCTATGTTTCCTTTTACAGACGCAAAATGAAGAGGGACATCTCTCTCCCCGCTGGCAAAGACCTCCTTGATGGCGCCGAACTCGAGCGGGTCGCCAACGGGCGTCCCCGTACCGTGAGCTTCAACGTAGGTAACGTCTTCAGCCGTGATACCAGCCGTAATCAGAAGCTTGCGGTAGAGTTCCGTCTGTGACGGGCTATACGGAACGGTGATGGGCACTTTGCTGCTGCTCTGCCTAACAGCGGTAGCAAGTATCGTGCCCAATACATTATCGCCGTCGGCAATCGCATCAGAAAGTCGCTTCAAAACGACAAGGCCGACTCCCTCGCCACGGCAGTAGCCGTCAGCATTGGCGTCAAAGGACTTGCTCGCGCCAGTGGGGCTCAGAAATGAGGCGGCAGCCAGGTTCTGGTAGAAGAACGGGCTTGTGAAAATGGAGACGCCGCCGGCGATGGCGCTCTTGCAGTCGCCGTGCAGGATTGCTTTGCAGGCGGCGTCGATGGCTACTGCTGATGATGAGCAGGCCGTGTCCAGGGCAATTGAAGGCCCAGACAACCCGAAGAAGTGGCTGATCCTGCCGGGGACGAAAGCTCTCAGGGTCCCAAGAGCAGAGAAGGCATTGGCCGGATGGCTGGCTACGTTGTCATTGTAGTCTGACGCGCATACCCCGATGAAGCAGCCGACGTCCAAGTCGGGCTTGCGGGGGCCGAAGAAGCCAGCCGACTCAAGGGCTTGGTAGGAGACTTCTAGCAAGAGTCGTTGTTGAGGGTCTAAGGACGCTGCTTCGCGGCCTGACTTCCTGAAGAAACGGTGATCAAAGCTGGCAATGTCGTCGAGGTAGTTCCCGAAGAATACCGTCTTGTCCGTGTCACGTTGGTGTTCGTGGGCAGGGAAGCGTCCGCTGGGTGGTTCGCTTAGCTTCGACTCTCCCGCGTCTAGCATGCGCCAGAAATCCTCGACTGAGTCGGCGCCGGGAAATTTGCAGCCCACGCCGACGACAGCAATGGCGTTCAGCGGCATGTCCTCCGTGAGGAGGCCGTCTGTGCTAATGGTGGACATTGTAGGGTGTGATTTATAGTTCTCCTTGTTAAAAGGAGTTAAAGAAAGTTGAAGGTGCCGGTTGACGTTTGGAGAACCGGGGTTTCTTCAAAGTGGGCGCAAGGCCATCTCAAATAACTCATTTTCTAATAACTCCAAATCCGGAAGTAGTTCGTCGTCCGCCAGTTTGAAGGTGCAATTGTGCCTCCAGGACAACTTGAGATATCTGGAACCAATCATAATGTCTCAACCGAGTTGCAAGGGTGCCAGGCCCGCAGAAGGAATCATCGAGGGCAGGTTGAGTGCACGAACTCGGGTCTCTCTGACTTGCCCCAACTCGGGTCCCGTGTCCATTTAACATTCCAACAGCGTAAACATACAACATAGATTCTTATTAGCCTCAAATTCCCATCGCAACTCATGACATCTAGATTGGTGAGGCTCGTGTCTTCGTTGCAGATGGGATCTGAAGCAAACACTCCGTAAGGTGTGGCCTGGTTGTAATTTTCTCGAATATAGCCATTGCATCCTTAATTTCGTTTCTTAAAATATTTCATGGGTGGTCTCGTGAGACCTTTGCAATAAATGTCTTAGCAGTGCTTCCAGTTCAGTGAGCCTGGCTTCGTGCCCAGATCCGTCTTTGTGCTTCAATAAGTACCAACACGAGCAGTGTTGCACGTCTTGTTTTGCTCCGTGGTGGTTCTTGTTGATGCACCAACTGTCCGTAGCCTAAGCCGTTGAGTTATGGAGAATTGTGTTGCTCCAGGCATCACGTGAGTTTCGGTTTTGTCGACACATAATATCTTATGAGAGTACATAACTGACTGATCTGCAACTGTCATCGCGCCTCTTCATCAGGACGCATCTGAGCTCAAGCTTCTAAGTTCTAGTGATGACAATCTATCCCGTCAACTGCCAGAAGGTGCCAGGATGCCTCAGCCGTCTCCAGTCTTTTTCTGGCTCCAACTTTATCTTAAAGCCATTCATAAAGTAGGTGGATGACAGGGAAATAGGGTCGGATAGATGCAATTCGTTCTTACCCACAAAGCACGTACATACATATTGACGCTATCTAGTAGTTGATAAGATTTGTAAGCAGGTTGTTTCTTTCTTGTCTTCCTAAACTCTCAAAGTGCGACTTAATGACAGCCAGAAGCATTGCGATACTTCTACACTACGGAAAATTTCGCTAACAACAGCCGCGGTTTACCGGAACTCCAATCTGCAGCATTTGATGCATCTCTTCAGTCATTCCAAGACAACTACCAGAACGCTTTCTGACCTTTGAGCACTTTCACTACCTGATTTAATTCGGTCCATCGCACTTTATCGATCATAGTCAATTTTCAACATGCGTTGCTCCGTTCTTCCTGCCATTGCCCTATTCCTGTATGTTCTTGAGATTCATCCTCGAAAACTCGTAATTTCAGGTCGCTAACGCTCGCCAGGAGGTTTGCCGTGGCTGACATGCACGACTACTGCGCATGTCAATACAAAACCGACTCAGCAGTTGACTATGCCGCCACTGATCTGCTAGCCGGTGACTGCAGGTTCGGCTACACCTGTGGTAGGTCTTGCGGCTCTTGTCAATCAGAGTCGCGCAGCTAAAAACTTCTAGGTCAAAACTCGGGGCAATTCTGGATTGGTCGATCATCTGGCTCGGGACCAAAGTTCCAAGGACGGTTCGTAAGTTCAAGTCCAGCTCAATCAGTACCCACGGAAACGGCACGACTGACTTGTGACAACAGCTCAAGGCGATTAATGGCCAGATTGATGGAAAAGAGTTCTACAACAACTGCAAAAGATATGCTGCGAATGATGCGACTTGCTTTAATTGTGAAACCAAATTCGAGTATCCTGATGGGTCTATCCTGTGCCGGTAATTGTTTTAGATAGAGTTTATTTTCCCATTGCTCAACATCCCATCATAATAAGGTCTTGGGTGACTGCAGTGCTATTGAGCAATTGGGCCATAGGCGTCGCCGCGAGTCACTTCCCTGGTCAGCGCGGTTCGTGGTGCTACTTTGCAGCCATTCATGTGCAAGGCTTTTGTGTACTACCTCAGAGTTTATGTTAATGTACTCTCGGGACATGGAATTGTGACATTTTACTTTGCCTATCCACTAGAACTTAAGCATCGGCGCTACCTATAAGCGGAAGCAGATGTGAGATCGCGAAATGTGGGAACTGTGTGAGATCGATACGGAACTCCTGGTGAGATGAAAGGTAATGATTACCACACCGCGCGGTCCTGAGAGTATATGGAATTTTCAGGGTGCACGGAAGTGCCTTTTTCTCGACGCCCAAGCGCAGCCCTTATAAAGCATCTCGAGCTAGTGGCTAAAAGTGCTGCCTGAGTGTCGGCTACTATACCCAAGGTAAGGTAAAAGGGGAAGCTTTCCCCGGCGAAGAGCGGCATCAACCCACTTTCTTCGATGAATTGAGTCGGCATTCTGCCATCGAAATAACTACTTGGGAACTAGGATTAATTAAGATTAATAGCGAGTTTGCTCGTCTGAATGTTAATTCCTTACACTTTGAACCTGTCCCGACAGGCAACACCCCACTGGACAGGAGGTACGATCCCGAATCCCTGTCGTTGAGCATTCTCGCCCTATGAAGACCGACCATAGTTACAATTGAGGAAATCAGCCAAAGGCTAACCTAATTACGTGAGCTACCCACACATCTCTACTCCGTATTACGTCAGTTGCTCAAGCTGGCAGGCTCGGAGGGGAACACCGGGACCACCGGACGCTCCGGGCGGGCCGTCGGATTTCATGAAGGGCGGTCCGCGGACAAGTCAGCCCAGCAAGATAGAACTTCCACTGATACAGCATGTGAAGCCTCTTTTCTAGTGGAAGAGTAGTGAACGCTCTAGGGCGTTTCCTAAGCGAAAGCGAGCTATCAGTCGACCGATGAGAGACAGAGTGTGCAATATGCAAGAAATAGCGAATCATTGTACGTCACATTGGAGACGAAAAAGCTTCTGCTGAGATAGCTTACCGATACCGACGTTCAAACCTTGATCGACGAAAGTCAAAAGTATCACAGGAGAGCCACACGATTCTGCAAAGGTTCGTAATTAGATGGCCATAAACCACGCCATCCGTGGATGAATGTGCGAGGAAAGGCGGTAGCTTCAATGAATACTCATACTGATAGTGAGTGGTTGAATATGATGTGAGAGGGTTTGGCAATGATAAAGTTCGACCATCCAGAGCGACTGGGCTCTCAGTCTAGAATCGTCAACCAGCCAAGTATCCTACTTAAATTGCAGAACTTCAACACCCATTCATTATGCGCTTCTTCATGTCTGTCTTTGCGGCCAAATACAGAGATCAGTCCTCCTCCGGCGTGGAATCAACTGTGAATGTGTACCCCCCTTCGGCATCCGGCTTGATGTCTGAAAGACAGTACCGGGGGGTCTTCATACTGTTTCGCGTCGCGGTCAGATTCGATCACCTTGACTGGTGGATAGAGTTTTGCTTACCTCCACAACCAATTCGCCATACACATATTCTTGCAGTTTTTCGCCAGCAGAGTGACGTGATTCTTATATGGCGTATCGTCGAAGCGGCGAGCAGAAGCCTTGACGGCGTCGTCGAGCGCAGAGACTTCGTGCTCCAATCGAGCCACAGCACCATCTAGCCCCTTTTGCGCATCGCCATTGGCTAGCAAGACAACAAGGTTCTCGACGAAACCTTCCTTGAGTTCCTTGCGCAGACTCACAATGTCGTTGACGATCCAGACGATGGCGACAGCAGCTCGGTACAGCTCGCGCATTTCTGGGGAGGCCATGACCTCCTCAGGGAGGTTGATGCCGTTGGCGAACTCGAGGTTGACCGCCACCTGCATGATACAGGACGACGCCTCGCGGTATCCGAGATATTCTTGGAGCGATGTGGCTCGACCGGCATACCGGTTCACGGCTTCTTGTCGATAGCCGTCAAGGGTGGCAGTAGCTTCTCTGGCGATGCGTTGTCGATAGCTGTAATTGTCCCCGTTGGCCTTCATGACAGCTTGAGCATACTCAGCAAACGACACAACGGCGTCATGATCCCGATACTGTGGTTGACCGGTTTCATTGGTAGTGAGGAGTCCCAGGCTACGGTCAATGAAGTCCCGGCAATCGGCCAGAAGAACATGCAATGAGGCGAAATCGAACTTATGTATGAGCGAGTACTGGTCAAGCATGTCGTCGACGATGAACATCCAGGCCTGGAAGGAAGTGAGAGCTTCGATTCTATCGCAGGAAGCATATGGGTACCAGCCCGTCAGTTGCTTCGATAGCATGGCTTTCGTTAGACGTCCGCGAACGGCATTATTGACAGCGTGGCTATTGCACGGTCAGTGGTATCCCGATCGCCGCTGTAGAATCATCCTACCTCTCGATGATCTGGAGAATCTTGCTGTCTACGGCATCAAGGTGTGGATTCTGGTCCCTCGGCCAATCTTCCATCAGCCTTCCTAGGTCGGGGATGCGAATTTGCTGGCCATGGAGCTGCAAAAGCATTTTCTCCCGAACTCCATGCGTCCTTTGCGGCAGTAAGTCATTGTCACGAGTTTGATGTCCTCTTGGAGTAGATGAAAGAGCGGGATGAAGCGAGAACGGTGCTGCGGCAACTGAAGAATGAGACATTGTAGATGTAAGCTGTAAGTGATGGTTCGTGGGAAAAGAACTATGGGAAAGGTTGGTGCATGCGGCATATCTATGATGCCGTGGAAAGGGGACAGGTTCAGATACTTACTTATGTCTCCCACAACTTGTATGTTACAAACACGAACACACCAGCCAACAGCCTGCAAGGAACTTTTGTTTCTCCACTGCGAGGACTATTGATAGGATCCTAATACGAGGGCACCGGACCGAGCCCAATACGACATCAAATCGCACTCTAAAACCGCCCTGGAGCGCTTGAAGTACATGCTGCGATTAGGATGCATCAGGCTAAAACTGCGAGTCCGTGGCGTAGACTCGAGTTTCCGCCTTGCTTATTTTTTGTTTCCGCCTTCAATCCGAAAGAACTTTGGACGCTATACGTGTTGTTACAGGCAAGATACATGTTGTAAACCTCAAGATACTCGTGGTGATGGTCCAATTCGGCGAGCATGTTGTCGACCGTAACACTGGCTGACGGCTGCCAAGGTTTGGAAGTAAAACCATGTGGTGGGTCTTTGATTAGAATAAGTAACTCCTTCGTAGCTCCCGGACTTGGGAATAGTAGTTTAGAGTCACAGAACTGAGGGTTTACGTTGCCCGCGGGTATGTCCACCATGCCTGCTGATCATCTTTAATCGCAGGCTATGCCAACCTAGAGCACTCCACTTGCAACCTTCTCGGGGCCGGGGCCGGGGCGATGTAGGTTGGCCGTCTCGATTTCCGGGAGCTTAACAACAAAGGTTGTGCACACCGGAACTCACAAGGTTTACTCCAGTTGTAAGAGTGTTGGTATCTTCAACGCCGTTTCAGTGGGAAAAGCAACGTAGGGGCATTGATACCCACACTACTTACCTGGACACTACGAGGAGGTCGCAAGCGGCATGGCGGAGCGCGTGTAAGGCGCGGCAACATTGGACCAAAACTAGTTGAAAAGATAGTGGCCACTGTTTACAGACGAAAGTGACTACACTTCGGCCCGCGGGCACGTCCGAGATTGACATGCGCGTCGATGTCACTCAAGCGCTTGACTGTAGGCGGAATCGAGCTCCGTGCTGGGCAAGGACAGCAGTATCCTCCTAAACATTGAAAAGTTGACACTTTGTATCTTTGCCCCCATCAAAGTCTCGTTCATCCATGGAAAAGATACTTAACGGGGGGGACGGAAATCAGGTTCCCGTCCCTAGCCTTCTTCTTGGGGGGAGACCCCACTAGCAATTATTTCCCATAAAGGCATCTAATTGAAGTTCGTGATGTCAAAGAGGGGGCGTGGACTGATTGTCAACGGTGATGCCGTCAGGACTCGGACATCAAAGGGATCTGCATCTTGACAGAGCGAAGATATAAAATAAGGCATATTTGAGTTAGCCTCTTCATCGATTAATATTCTTTGGCTATCACCAACAAGATTATTATCATCATTGCCGTTGCCACTGAATTCAACATTTAAACCTCTCATCGTGTTTCTCTGCACATCCAACGCATTTTTAACTCACATCATGAACATGATCACCGCCGCTGTTCCTCCTAATCTTAGCAGTGGCCACTTCTGGCTCGGTGCCGGCAACGGAGCCAAGAATGGAGCGCCGACGCAACAGCAGCAGCAACAAGATGTAGAAGTTCCCAAGGTTCTCCCTCCCGGAATTACGCAGGCTGGATTCACCAAATTTGCTCGCCGGGTAACTCAAGCGGTCGGAGGAGGCGAGAACTTCACTGTCATCACGGCTGGCTGTGACTTTGAGGGCTACGAAGATGATGATTTTGGGCGCAACTGCCGTACCCACGACTACTACCGCTCCTTTGACGACGAGTGCGAGCTTGTGGGCTCGGCTCTGTGCCACCCGCGCAGCGTGCAGGATATTCAGGCTGTTCTTGCTGCGTGCAACGAGTCAAAGGTTCCCGTGTGGCCCATCAGCACGGGACGAAACCTCGCGTACGGTGGCTCGGCACCGAGAGTAAGCACAATCACCTACATCTCACACCTAGCTCCAGCCATGAAAGACTGACGAGATTTGTAAGGTCCCTGGATCGCTGGTGATGATTCTGAGCACGCATATGAATCGTATCTTGCACTTAGATGAGACAGCGTGCGTCTGCATCGTTGAGCCGGGTGTCACTTTCATGCAAATGAGCGAGTAAGTCGCCGATCATCCCATCAAAGAATCTCAGAAACCGAGAGACTGACAGGTTTGCCGCAAAAAAGTTATCTGCGTGACCGCGGCCTCTTGGACAAGATCAGAGTAGACTCGTCAGGCCTCGGCTGGGGATCCATGATTGGAAACGCCCTAGACCGCGGAGGCGGTGCTTCCTTGTACGGAGACAGATGGGGAAAACACAGCGGAATGGAGGTCGTACTGCCCAACGGCGAGGTCGCCAGGATGGGAATGGGAGCGATCCAGGACCCGGAGGGCCGCAAACAGGCGGAGCAAGGCGTTCACCCGGCCGATCAGAAGCTGAATGAGTGTTTCGCTCTGTTCCCGTACGGCTGGGGCCCAATGAACGATGGTCTGTTCTCGCAGGGCAATGCTGGCATTGTCACGAAGATGGGATTCTGGGTGAGATGCTCCGTCCAATGATATCTGACCTGGTACGACAACAACGTCAAAAAGGGCACACTAACAACGTTTACCATAGCTGATGCCCGCTCCCCAGGGTATGACGCCGTTCTCCGTCACTTTTGAGAAGGAGGCCGATCTGGCCGCCCTGGTCGACTGCATTCAGCCTCTTGATCTGGTAAGACTTTCCACGGGGTTGGAAGATTTAGGTAATTTAATCGAGCTGACTCTCTGCAGAACGGCACACTCCAAAGTTCTGTCAGTCTACGTAACCTCACGCTGGAGGCTGCTCATTATGGCCCGAGGTCCAGCTATACCAATGCCTCTCACAAAGAAGTCATCCCCGAAGAGGACTTTGAGAAGACGGCCAAGAAGCTCAACACGGGCCGGTGGCGCTACATTGGCGCCGTCTTTGGCTCAGACAAAGTCCGCGCAGCTCTCATCGAGGATATCAAAAAAGAGTTGACAAAGGTCCCAGGCAGCAAGTGGGCCACGCTTGACGAGTGCCCCGGTGAGCAGAACCTGGTTCGTGTCAGAGCCACGTACCTTCAAGGTATCTCATCCATGGGAGAGTTTGCTTGGATGAAGCAGTGGCTGCCCAACTGTTCCGTCATCATGGTCGCGGCTATTTCCAGACTTGAGGGTAAGGCCGTTTGGGAGCAGTACTCCTTGGCGAAGGAGTTGTTTGCCGAGGCGGGCATCGACTACATCAGCCACTATGTCGCATACTTCCGGACTATGCGTAAGTCTTCCCTAGATCGGACCATTGAAGTAACTACTTAGTTCACATGAACTGACATCGTACTTCCAGACAACGTGTGCATCATCCCGTATGACAGAAAGGACAAGGACATGCGCGGCCGCGCGCAGTGGTTGGGCCGGACCCTGGTCAAAGAGTGGAAGGCTCGCGGCTGGAGCGTCTTCAGGACTCACGTGGGTCTCATGGACCAAGTTGCGGATGCTTATGACTTCAACAATGGTGCCCTGTGGAAGATGCATGAGGAGATTCACGACACCCTGGATCCCAATGGCATTCTAGCTCCCGGAAGAGGCGGTGTCTGGCCAAAGGGCTATGATAAGGATGCTTGGATGATGGGAAAGAAGTACATTGGGTGAGATGAGCCTGGTAAATACTCAAAAGATACGAGTTCGAGTCTACATGGGTTTTCACAAGATTTACCTGATTATCGAAGTGGAACGGGACGATGGTTACTGTGAATGGAAAAGCGGAGATGATGTGACAACTACTGGTGCTATGCTTCATGCTAGAACTTGGGGGCCAGAGTGTATAGTTCCATCGTCCGTAGCTACGGGGAGCTGAAACAGTACGATCTTTACTCGATATGGCTACTATTCAATCTATACGGAACTTTCCTCGCTGGACCACAATATGGACTTCCGACAGTCCAGTTCTTTATGTAACCCTTTCGAGCCTCTCATCCGGTTGGATTACATCATGTAAGTTGTGACTTGAGATTGCGGATCTCCACTGCTCCAGTCCTGCTGTCACTAGTTATGAGCCAGGTTCATCGTCTAACTATTTCTGGAAAGCCGTTCGCACACACTCTCTTCAGCTGTCATCCGAGCTACTAGATCACCAATCAAGCGATAAAGATGACTTACCGCGGCTCTGGTTGTACGCAGCAGGTTCCAACTCTCTGAGTGGACAACTCGGACTCTAGGTTTTCTTAGGTTGACACATCCCGTCGGTCCATGCCGTGGCAACCAATATATTCTTTAAAGTCGGAACGCTCATATAAGTAAATAGACAAGGAGCCAAGCCGTATAATTTTTTATCATATTTGTAAATATTTGAAATTGATGATTCTGGGGCTTCACATTGTACTCCTTGAGTCGGGCTTGTTGAAGCTGGTGGGTACCTAGGATGAGTAGTCGGACCGGACAAGCAACGTGGGGCAAGAATCAATGATTTAGGCCAGATGTTCCTTGTGTAGTTGCAACCTTGTGCAGACTGGCCGATACCTCAGGGAAGCTTGCAGAGGTTAGCTGACCGGTCTTGGTTCTAATATGTAGTAAATCTCCATCATCTGCTTCCTCGGTATCTGGGAGTTTCCTCTGTGACAGAACTTACACCAGGAGTTGTTATCAACTATTGAGGTCGACCCGCCCAGTGACGTACAAACCCCAACACACTCATACTTCATCGGAGATTTCCTTTTGTTCAAGGTACAACGCGACAGGCCGTCATCGCGGGTTACAGCTCAGAGATAGCCAGAGTTTCGGTTGAGAACCACACTCTTCTCATTCATCCAACTTAAAGCTACCTCATCTACCAGGATTGGTAACAGAGAACCCCTTGATAGGAAAATTGAAGTTGATATGATGCGCCTCAACTTTCCCCACTCCAGACGGTATATATACACTCTTATCCGCCGCCTTACTCGAAGCGTAATCCTGCCACCCCACAAACCCCAACCACACGGTCCCGTTATCAGGCGTGTCCGTTGCCGTGATGCCCGAGTGAGACGCCAGGCAGCCTGCATTCACCTCCACCTTTTTGATCATGGCCGCCGCGGCGTCCTTGTCGCCCGTGAAGTGCGTAATGGTGATGATTTCGCAAATGGGGCTGTTGATGAGCTGCGGCGGCGGCGGGACAATGGTGCTCACGTCAAAGTCAACGCGAGGGCACTTGGAGGGGACGGCTTTAAGGACGGGCATGAGCGCGTCGATGGCCTTTTGGTGGTGGGGGCAGCGGCCGAAGGCTTGTCGGTGCTCGACTGGGGCCCAGGCTATGGTAAGGGGAAGCCATCGTCAGTTTCGCTCTGGTAGTGGGAAGAATGTATGGTGTAAGCCAGGGGACGGAAACGTACTCGCGAGGATCTCCAGTTTGCTATGGTCCTCCTCCCAAGGGCCCCATCGGTAGCGGAAGTATCCTTCCGAATCCTTGACAGTCAACAGGAACTGCTTGAACTCCTCTTTCCAGTCTGGCACGTCTCCCTTCACGTGGAGAATCACTCGCGTGGGACCAAGGTTGGGAGGGGGGCCGGACATGATGTGAGAGCTTGCTCTGCTTCAAGTTGACGAGAACGAAGTATAGAATGCTTATGTAAATTTGAGGCTACAACATGAAAGCCTTGTTTGTCAATGTTCTGTGATGGATTAATTGTGTGAGGTGTGAGATTGTTGTTATATTACACCTCAAGAACATCACCGATCGAAACCGTCTGAAGGATGACGCAGTGACCAAAGATCAATGATGCTCTTTTTTCCTGCGAGACAACGACGGCAAGAGCATATTGTTCCGTACCTTGATCTCCTCAGAATCGTCACACAGAGTTACGTTTTGTGATACGAGCAAGTTTCACGGAGAGCGAATATTCCAAGAGAGAAGAGAGAGGAAGGGAGCGCGCGCGTAAACAATCCCCATCGGACTCCTGAAGATGGCGCGGTAAGGGCCATTGGCTGTTAATATCAATCAGACGAGTTTTCCTGCCCGGGTGGCCCGGATGGCATCTGACAAGCAGGTATGGGTATGTGCGTGCGTCACAAACCGAGCTGCGATATGCAAAAGGGGCGGCTTAGGTGGGCGGCGGTCGGGCGGGGAAAGCTTGCTGTTTCTCTGTTCTTCTGGAGCAACCCTCCCAGCCTGTAGACAGCTCTAGGATGTAAGCTTGAGCTCAATGTATGTACGTTTTGTGATGCAGCTTATGTTGGTGTGATGAGTGGTCTATCCAGATGGTCCGTTGCGAGATGAGCTTTGAGAGCCGGCACTTTCCTACCAATGAAGCCTCTTCAATTTGCAATCTCAACTTTTTACGTTTGTCTTTGGCCCTGGGAGCTTGAGCTTGAACTTCGAGATGAAGGCTGAATCTGAAGCTTGAGCTTGTTGTCACACCCATACGTTTCATGGTCATCAGGCTTTCCAAGTTTGAGAGTACGGTTGGGTTTTTCTGGACTTCCCCAAAGCGACCAGACCATAACACACGCCCCCCTCGACACCTACTTCATCGACTTCCCGCGCCACCCTCACGGACGGCTAGAGCAGCATTGTACGTGACGTAGGTTAATCAGCGGTCCGACGCGTATTCGTGATAGAGGCGGCCGGGCGATAGGTTTCCTAAACGAGTTTTGCGATCTGCGACAGAACTCTATGAACTCTGCTAGTCACTACGGGGAAACGCCCAAGTGCGAAGGCCTTTCTAGTACTGCAAGCATCACACATGGTAGTTGTTCACACTTGTTGATCATTGGCGTCGTGAACGAACTTCCATATTCAATCATTCTCAACGACCAAGAACAGCTTTCATCATTTAGATGATTTCGTCATGGGCGTTGCGATGTCCACACAGCTCGAGAAGCAGAGGACAAGACCTCGTGATGAAATCATCGAAATGACAAACGCTCTTGTTGTATGACAAGCAGATTGTTGAAACAGACTCAGAGCTGGTACACTACCTCTACACTCTCATGCACGCCATAATTGCGCTCTACAACTTGGGCTTTGGCTCCTTCTCGTCATCGTCCTCCTGTTGCTTCAACCGAACGACACCCTATGTCAAAAGAAGTCAGCACACATCACATATTCAGGGGGAGGGAGGACAATATGAAGATATCGGCCATGAAGGGGCAACTCACCTCCTGAACACAAGTCGCCAAAAGCGTCCCATCACTCGCAAAAATCTTCTGCAGCACCACGCCCCGCCCGTCGCCGCTCCAGGGGCTCTCCATCTCGGTAAACATCCACTCGTCGGCCCTCACCCGCCTCGGCTCGTGGAAGTAGATAGAGTGGTCCAAGCTGACCATCATGCCCAAGTGAGGCCTCGTCTTCCAGTACTCGATCCCGCCGGCCTCGGTATTGCCCTCAAACTCGTTGAGCCTCTCGACCTGCTCCCGCAGCTCGGGCGGCAGGTCGTCAAACTCCTCGGGCTTGAAGGGGAACCGCCACAGCCTGTGGATCCGCCCGACGGTGCCGATGAAGTAGCTGTCCGACATGTACGCCAGTGCGTTCAGGTGCGCCTGGTGCCCGCCGCTCACCGATATGCGGCCACGCGCGCGCACCCAGTTGCGCGATTTCAGCTCGTCGAGCCTCTTGCCCTTGTCCCTGGCCCCGACAATCGAGATGCGGTGCGTCTGGAAGGGCGAGTGCGTGCTCCACTCGGGCTCGCCCTTCCAGTTGTCCGGGGGCGGCTTTACGCCGTCGGGCAGCGGCGCCGCGTGCCGGACCTGCTTCTCACCGCCGCTACCCTCCTTAACGAAGGAGACGGTCGTCGTGAAGATGCACCGCCCGCGCTGGCGGGCCTGCACGGTGCGCGTGGCGAAGGAGCGGCCGTCGCGGACGCGTTCCACGTGGAAGAGGATGGGGATCTCGGAGGAGCCCGCGAGGAGAAAGTAGCAGTGGCACGAATGGAGAAAGAAGTCGTTGGGCACCGTCTTCTGCGCGGAGGCAAGGCACTGCGCGATGACGGCGCCGCCAAAGATGCCGCGGGCGCCGGGCGGATGCCAGGGTGTGCGCGTATTGGTGAAGATGTCCTGTTCTACGGAGTTAGATCGCATTCCCTCTGTGACATGTACCTTTGTGTCGTAGGTCGGCAGACATCTGGCCGCCGACGGCATCGGGTGGGATTCACTCACCGGACCAAGCACGCCGAGCTCCGTCACCTCCAAGACGTTCTCCATCGGACTCTTGTTCGGGTCATCCGGCGGAGGCCGGATGATTGTTGATCTACCTGATGCCATTGTGCCGGTATGCTCTCTGACTCAAAGTTATGGCTCTAAATCGATTGCCGTCTACCGTCTTTGATGATGATGTTGATGTGCTCGCCTCTAAGCCTTGAGGAAATCTCTCCTCTATACACCGAGTCTTGGCGTTTCGCAAGGCCAAACACGACCACTTCAGTGCGCTGCGCCTCTTAATCTACCCTGATGAGTATCTGTGAAGCAAATGAGGAAAAGGGATGGTATGAACGACGAAGAAGATGAATGACACAATGGGAATGAGAAAAAGATTCGCTTGTGAACGAACCCAACAGCCCGGATTGATATGCGCGACCAGGTCCCCTAAATGTGACATCAATTGGGGTCGTGGCCACTGGTCAAGGCAAGGGGGGGAAAGTGCCGAGGTCCAAAAGCGGAGCGGTTTGATTGGATGTCACTGCTGCGCTCAGGGGATCACGGACCGTGACGAGTCGTGGGCAGCTGCGAGTCTCCAGCGCCTGCACCTGCTGCAGGAAACGTGCCGCTCTCCACCCGAGCTCACCGAGGTGCTCCGGGACTCGGTGAGTGGCTCCCCTAAAGTCCCACCTCCCACGGGCGCCGGGTGCACGCGCCGCCCTCCGAGCTCCGACCGGTATCACAAGCTTCTTGGCGGGGCAAACACCCAACAAGGCTCAACTGCACTTGCGGTCAAGGGGAAGCATCACTCGAGACTGTGCTGATGCTCCGTGATACTCAGTGCGGAGAGGTAGAAGAATTCCCAGGGGGTGCATACAAGTGCCCAAAATGGTAACTCCGCGACGTACGATATTTCCCTTGATGGCTGTAGATAAACTCCCTCACATATCACTTCACAGCTCTCAATTGTGCGGTCTCCAACGCATCTTTCTGGTGCAATACTTTCCTCGCGGTTTGGAGTCAACACAGTTGGACGCCAGTTCGATTCCCCCGTCCGAAGGAAGCGCGTCTGCGGAAGCGCTTCCGGTATTTCCCCAGGTTCACTAATCTCCCCGTGCCGCCGCCTGCCTCGGCTCTAGAGCTTCAAGTATGCTCTCTAAGTTCCCTTCGGTTCCAGCCTCGCATACTGGAGACAAGATCCCAAGAACAGAGCTCTTGCGGCGTGATCCTGAGTCGACAAGGCACATACGTGCCATATCCAAGAAACCTTGCTCAAAGTTGCCGTAGTTAACTGATAGTCGGTCTCCTGCCTTCGAGCTTGGGTGGAAGCGGTCTCGCGCAGCCATCACCAATGCAATCTAATCGAGATACTTAGGACTCATTGCGCACTCTATCTTGAACCTCCAAGGCTTGGGTCTGCTTCTTTTTGGCGACAATGGATACAGGTGCTTCCTCTTCCACTTCTTCTCGCCATTAAGTAAAGAGGAGCTTTCGTCTAGTCCTATGCCGCCATCGCTACATCCAGATGAAAAGACTCCATGGCTATCGCATGTTCAACACCATCCCCACCTCCCACCTATTCATAATCAAATACCACAAGGGAAAGAATGGGCAGAACGATGTGAGATATGCTCTTCTCACTTGGTTGCACTAAATGATTTCGTATACCAGACCGCCGCCCCTTCAGATCACTCAGGCAATCCAGCACGCAGAAGAGAGCTTACCGAAGCTCAAGACGAGTTACTGTTGGCCCCATTCAAGCCGCTCAACCGAGATGAGGAAAGGAGTCTGTTAGCGGGCTCTAAGTAAGTTGATTTATACCTAGGTACCCACCTTAGCGCACCATGTATCCGTATATAAAAGAGGTAAGCTATAAAAGCTATTGCGGTAACACATTAGCCAATTCACATTTCCCTAGCGCATAGCTAAAGTAAATCAAGTCAAGGACCTTCTATCTTGCTTCTAAGGCTAAGTGTCGATACTTAGATCTTATTCAAGTGAAAGTAAGTATGCAGTCGCCTAGGTAGACACCTCAGATGGCCACATCTCACCCTTTCGCTCATATTCCATGATGAGTACGTTAAAAAAAAAAAAAAAAAAAGAAAAAAAAAAAAAAAAGACAGGACCACTAGGTAGAAGGCCTGATTTCCCCGTCAACGACGAAGAAGAGGGTAACCACAACAAAAGAGATGCTACTCCTCCATCCGCCCTGGGCAGCGAGATACACCAGCCCATGGAGAAACAGGACAAGGAACTGGGCCTTATATACGAGCCAGAAATCGCCTGAACAGGATCTATCGAGAAAAGTATTGGAGTGCCTTATATACGTAGCTTTCCCGGCGAGGAGGTGGGTGGGGGTCCTGTTACAGTCCTGCCCAGGCGCGCCTTCTGTGACCTGCGTGATGTACCGTGAGGGACAGCAAACATCCACGAACCCATTAAGCAAATTTTCCAGCCGCAGCCATTCAAAAACCCCAGATACTTTCCCCCCAAGGTACTTGACTCTCCGCGGATTCACCCTAGGTACCCACCTCCGCAACCAGGCTTCTCTTAGATTCCTCTTCAACAGGCAATATCCGTTCGTCACTGCCTCTTACTTTTCCCAAGCCGGACCATCTCACAATCGGACTCGTCAAGACACATTTACATCATGCGATAGCCTCATCCAGCATGAGCTAAAAGCCCTTCCAAATTCACCATGACAAGTACTAAGCACACATGCCGAGAACGAGCGATTGCTTATTTCAATATCATCTATGTTACATCGTTTGCAACCTGGCTTTCTGACACGCAGTGCAGGTGGGATCTACCTTGTTCCGGCAACAGTCCAGCGAAAGCCGCTCGGCCCATCCGCAAGACGCACCACCTGCTGCGGCTTCTTGTCCGGCACGCCTTGGTACCCGCTGCTGGCACCACCGATCCCGCCGCCACTGACTGAACGAAGACTTCCTAGAACGACGCCACACTCCTATTTCGCGTCCTCGTAGATGGGCTCCAGACCCTCCCAGGCCTGCTTCGGATTCCCTTCGGGACCGGCCTTCTCTCTCTGCTGCCAGTACTTGCCGTTGAACTTCCAGTACTCCTCACCAGTGACCTCGCATGTCGTCTTCTCGAACCACGCGGGCCGGAACTCGATACCCTTCTCCTCACGCTGCTTTCTTCTCGCGCGCTGCGCCTCCTCCAGACGGTTCTTCTCTTCGGCAGCAAAGTCGTACTCTCCATCCTCCATGGCGCGCTGATCGGGACGAAGACGAGAATCTGTGGGCGGCAGCCAAGGCTTGAGCTTGTCGTCGATGTGGTTGAATGTGAGCACGAAGGGGGTAAGGTTGAACGGAATGCCGGGCGGGCGGGGGTTGGCCTGCCAGATGAGGAACGCCTTGTTGGGATCGGTGATGCTGCCCTTGTGGAGCGAAGCCGAGTCACCGGGATCCTCGACTGTAGCTTCATATCCAGGCGTGAGACGAGCGTAGAGCTTCGAGTTCCATCGGCCGCCCATGCTGTATCGGACTCTTCCGTCAGAGTCGAGGACCTTGCCAGAAATCTTGTATGCGCTAGACGCCTTCCAGCCACGCGGCTGAAACTCGATCTGGCACACCTCGCCAGTTGTCCAGTTCTTGACCTCCATGGGGCCATAGTTGTCAACGGTGGGGTTACCAGTGATGATGCCGATGACGGATGTCGTAACCTTTCTCCAGGTGTAAAGGTCCTCCTTGCCTCCAGACTTGGGTCGAAGCTTTAAGAACCACGTTCCAAGAGGGTTGGCATCAAAGGACTTGCCGTAGAACTTTGTCTTGACAGCCGATTCACCCCAGTAGGTCCAGTGGGGTGATTCAGCCCAGGCAGCACCCACTGGAGGATGGTGAGAAACCTGCTCAATAAAGAAGCGGTAATTCTTGTCAGGCCGGACGTATTCAAAAGTCTCTCCAAGAAGCGGGTTGAAGGGTTTCGCCACACGACCGACGGTAGAAGCGTACTCACTAGCAGCAAAGGCAGCCACATAGATGAGACGTTCAATTGAGTCGGATCGCTCCACAGCTTGGTCCAGAAGGTCGACGTATTCCATATCCTCACCAGCGCGGTATAGCAGGGAGGTAGGCTCGTTAAATGACACAGGCAAAGTCATCTTTGTCATGTCCTTGCCAATCATGGACTTGAGAATACCCTGCAAACACATTAGCAAACCGGCCATCACAGTGCTTACAATGGTGGAACTTACCCAAAGTGAAATCTTGGGCCGGTCATCAGCATCCATCTTGAGACGACTTCTGATGCCATTCTCGTAACCCTTGAAGGAGCTGCTGAGATCCGTGCCACCAGAAACAACGAGTTGCTGCTCCTCCTTCTCCTCGTGAGGAGTAGGCACCGCATCGGCATGCGGCAAGTGGCTGACCTCAACCTCTCCAGCATCAACTGCATCGAAGAACTCATCCTCATCATCAGACTCGGAGTCAGACAGCTCAAGCGAATCCAGAACTGTCTTCTTCCTTGTCAAGGTCCTCTCGGGTGCCGCTGGCGGGGCTGCGATAATTGTGTCGTCGGCGCCGACGGCGGCTTCGACGGTTGCAGTGCCATCCACCTTTCTGTCACCCTCGAGATCCTGGCTGGCGGTCGTTGGCTGCTCGTTCATAACTTCGCGGAGCGCACGCTTCGCAGCTTTGCGCTTCTGCTCAGCTTGGTCGACTCGCTCCTCCAGGATCTCTTGCTCCTTGGCAACCTTGGCCATACTCTCCTCCCACATGCGGCGCATGTCGATTTCGCGGTCCAGCCGGTACTGCCAGTAGGCATCGCGATCCTTTGAAATCCGCATTAAGTCTCCAATAAGTCCCGTCAGGCTCCTGACAGCTGCGTCGTAGGTTGTGAGGGCCTGAGTGACCTTGGCGTCGGAGACGACCGTGTTGGGGTTCTTGGAAGCCTCGGAGAGCATCGCAGCGTTGACGGCAGAAATAGTATCGAGCTGTAGCTTAGCCGACTGAGCTGTGATGCTGAAAGCGTCCTTGCTGACAGAGGGCTCTTCACGGCTACTGACATCCTCAAAGTCGTCATCATCATCGTCATCATCCGGTCCGTGATGCCCTCTTGTTACGCGAGATTGACCCGCATCTGTCGCGGCATCGGCAAAGTCGTCATCGTTGCTAGCGATGGTGCTTGCGCCAGCAAAGTCGCTTCTGGGGACGGACATTTTGCTGTGCGACATGGTCCTGGGGATCTGCACACTGCTTCTTCCATCGGCGACGCTGGCACTCTCGCTCTGAGCCTCATTGATGGACAGCTCTGGCGACTTTCCAGATTGCTCTGCCTTTGCCTGCCTCAGAAGTTCGGCGCCGCGAGCGCGCTGGCGCTCTTCTTCCTTTGCCTGGTCCTTTGTCCACTGGATAGAGTTGTTGAGGGCCCAGAACCAACGCTTGGCCTCGACCTCGTGGTTGGCCTTGAGGGTGTACTTGACAGAAGACTTGCCGATAATCTCAAACTTGGTCTTCTCGTCGGCGCTCATGTGCAGCTTGGCAATGCGCGTGTTGATGGCGCCACGGCATGCAGAGCCAGCATCGTCCTGGTGTTTGTAATAGCTCAGAACGCCATCCTCAAGAACGAACCATCGAAGCTGGTATCCCTTGCGGTAGTTGGTCCACTTCTTCAGGTAGCCCTTCATCTCTCGCGCCTCCTTTCCGGCCACAGGGTCGGCAGAGGCCGCGGCCCCAGCGCCCTGTGAAGCCGCCTGGCCGAGAACGGCTTTCTCCTGGATGCCTCTCTGAGCCGCGACGGCAGCGGGGGATCGCTTGAGCATGGCACGTGTGGTATCGTCCTTTGTTACATCCTGCGGTAGCTTGCCCTTACGGTCTCGACGGAAGGGATCGGCTCCGTGGAGCAAGAGAACCTGGATGAGCTGGGTGTTCTTCTTGCGGGCGGCCTCGTGGAGGAGGTTTCCGCCGGCCTGGAGGGTCGTGGGTTCGGTGACGAATTCGGTGCTGTTGATATCGAGAATCTGCTTGAGGCGTGATTCCTCCAATACAGTCTCGAGAGCCTTGTAGTCGTTCTGCGCAATCAGACCCTGGATCTGCCTGACCTTGTTCTCGGCAAAGATGGACCGCGACAGCTGAAGAAGCTGGAAAATATCGGGGTTTCGAGCGACGTCGATGGGCAGTCGGCCCTGGTAGTTGGCGACGGCGTCGTTGATCTCCTTCTGGTCAAGCAAGAGCTTGACGACCTGGGTTCGACCCTGGACGGCAGCTACGTGCAGCGGGGTATTGCCGTCCTTGTCTCTAGCGTTGATATCGATGGTTCCAGCGCCGTCAGACAGGACGTACTCGACAACAGGGTATTCGGCGCATTGAATCGCAAGGTGAAGCACGGTAGTGTCGTCGAGACCGGTGCCGCTGAGGGTATTGATGGAGGAGATGCTCGTGCGGGGCCCGCCCTCGGCGGTATCCCTGATAGCCTTGGAAATAGAGGCAGTGTCGCCGCTTCGCAGGGCCTCGACGATGCGGAACTTGCGAACAGACTGCTCGAGGGAGACGCCCTTTTCGCTACCTGCGACGCTCATCTTAGATGCGGATGTAGATGCGGTTGCAGAGGGGGGGCTGTTGTGGGAGGGGGTTCGGCCCATGGAAGGGGAGATGGAGAGCCTGTTGGCCCCGTTGCCGCGGGGGACGTTTTGAGCCATGGATATGTTTGTCGCGGAAGCCGCTGTAGAAGGTGGCGACGTCAGCGGCGCACCGTCATCCGTGGTGGACGGATCTTCTTCGCTGCGGGAGTGGTTTCGTCGGAGGAGTGAGAGGGCAGCGGCCGACTTTGACCGCTTGTGGGTGCTGGAGAATCAGGAGAGGGTTAGCTTTGCTGCCGCCAAGGTTGGGATGCGGAAGGTGCTGTTGTTGGTGCTGATTGTGCTTCTGTCGCTTGCTGCTGCAGGCCGCCCCGGGGAGTGTGTGGGCAGACGCCTTGCCGCTGAGGTGTCTGTCGGCACCGATGAAAGCGCAGTGGGAACGGGAGGATGATGATAGTGGAAGAGGGAAGGGAGGTTGTGGATGTGTGCATAGCAGCTGGAATGCCACAGACGTGGAGAAGACGGGAGCAGATTGAGGTGGATCATCACGTACCTATCGCCAGCGTCCGACATGTTGCGGAGCAGTGAGGAAGCTCGGCTTCACTCACACACGCACCTAGATGGAGAGCAACTGTATCCGTAAAAGGATGCTATTATGGACACCTCTGGAACGCGGGCCAGGCAAGGTTGCTTGGGTTCCCCACTTCCTCGTAAGATAGTCTGAGTTTATATGAGCGTGTCCTGGATCCCGTACTCCGTCTCTCGTGGCGGGGAGGTAATGTAAGGTAATGTAAGGTAAAGAATGGAGCAGCTGGTGGTCAAGCACAAGGGACGGGCTTGTTATCCGTATGTCGCACTCCGTAGCAAAGGAAATAGAATGGGTAAAGAAAGGTAAGGCAGTTTATGGCTTATGCTCGCAGGAATACTGGGTACTCGGACCTGCTGATAGGTCGGCGGGGGGTTTGGATGAGGAGGAGGAGGAGAATTGGTGGAAGACGCTGCTGAATGAGGGACTGGACGTCGGTTCGGTTGGGGGAATGTGAGACGCTTGGGTCGGCGACAACAGACAAACCACAGACAATGGTGGGGTTGGTTGAATAATGCGTAGAGTAGAGCTGTGGATGCTAAGGTATGATGAATATCCGATGATACCTAGAGATAGGTAGGTATCGAGGTGAGCGGCGCGGCTGGAACCAATGGGATGCGAATTATCCCACGAAGGAAAAGAATCTAACGTTGGATGCCGCTGTCGTTCGTGAGGGAGGATGATGGTGTTGTTGCTGCTGCTGCCAAGTTTTCTGCAAATCGCACGAGAACGAAAGCGAGCTGAGGATGCAGGGGACGGACTACGGAGGGAGGAGTGTATAGTGTAGAAGCAAGGTGGGATGGTTAGGTGAACGGGATGGATGGGTAGATAGATGGGCTTTCTTTCTTTCTCTCTTTCTTCCTTTCTTCCTTTCTTCTCGACTGTTCGTCCACATATACCGGTAGGTATCTCTCTCTATCTCCCCTCAAGTCATCGTCCCGAATCTGCGCCTGAAGTACCCAAGGTCACCAGCTCAGGTTGTAATAAAGAACTCAAACAACCAAGGTACCGACGCTATTCCAGCATAGCCCCGTTGATAAACACGATAGAACATCGACGACTGTCCAGATTAGCGCCTAGTGTGATTTTGTGCAACAAGGTCATCGCAAATCAACCCTTGGCCTGCTGTGGTGCGCCCCTCATTCTGCTTCCCCCTCCCCTCTCACTGCTCAGGTTGTACAGAGTACCTTTCTCCCTTTCCAGGTTCCCTGCAGCAATCCAGGAATCCAGAAATGACGTTCCCGTCCTTGGAGATGGGGGGTGACGAAACCACCAGGCTTGCGGCCCCCATCCCACCCGTGAATCCACAGCCAATCATATCATTATTGTTCCCAGCGAGTCCAGTCTTTCCATGGAAACGGACTTGATTAGGCGACACACCCTAATACCCTTTTAATGCCACCCGATGATGACACCCCTTTTGGTCCCTTTTTGGGGGGACACGGTGGGATGCAGAGGGGTAAAGCTGTAGGGTGAGTAAGGCGGTAAGGTTACCAAGGTAAAATAGGTACGTGTATCTTGTTTTTAGCTTACTACCTACCCGTGTCGTGCCGTGGAGAGTAGGTACCTGTGAGCAAGGCAGACGGTCGCCGGGTACCTGTGGCGCCCGTTGTTTGAGCCACACACATGAGCTGAAGAAACTACCTTAGTCCATCTCCGTATACCAACCGCATCGGGGGCTGATTGACCATGATCGGTCATCGCTGAGATACTTCCTGGAAACGGCGCGCGCAATCTCTGCCGAGCCGCTCTTTGGAACCGGGCCGGCACTGGTAAGCAAGTCCATTAGGAAAATCCCCATGCCGCTCCCGAGATCGGTTCGTTCAGCTCAGACACGCCGATTCGGCCGAACGACTGAGAAGGAAACCTTGATGCCAAAAGCGCATAGGCGATACCCAAAAGTCAAACATCAGCTTGTTCAAGGAACAGATAACAAGTCCCAGCAACGGGCTGATTGCATTGTTTGCATATAACATGCATCATGTTTTCTCAACTATGTGCTCTGTCACGCAATGCGCCAAACGTCTTATCACGAGGCCCCGTACACCAAGGCTTGCTTGCTTTTGCATGCCCCAATCGCGGTACCATATACAAAGGAAATAGTAGTCATGTTTATACATCTCATGAACAGAATCAAATCCGACAAATGCCATATCCATGGTAACCAATCATCAATACCTCACACACATTAGAGCAGAAGAGCAACGGCAAGGGCGGCGAAGCCACCGAGCCCGAAAGCTCCAATCTTGGCAGCTCCAGCCTGGACAGGCTTGCTAGGAACGGGAGCTGCCGTCGTGTAGCTGGGGAACCCGCCCGTGGAGGTGGGCTTGTGGTTGGAGCCGGTACCCGCGAGTGTGGAGTTGTATTTGCCAATCGTGACAGGGACAGTCAGGGTCTTGTAGATGAAAGTTGTCGTGTCATCCTCTTTGCTGGGGACAACAGGAGTTACGGTAGGCTTGAGCGCAGAAATGCCCCCAGAAGGCTCGCTGCCGCGTTGGCTGCCAGTGGGCTTAGCAGCATCGCCAGTAGGCTTGGGAGGCTGAGGAATGTCACCAGAGGGCTTGTTTCCTCCTTGGCCACCGGTAGGCTTGGGGACATCCCCGGTAGGCTTAGGGGGCTGAGGAACGTCTCCAGAGGGCTTGGGAGGGTTGGGGACGTCGCCTGAAGGCTTAGTGCTGCCGGATGTCGTCTCGGTGTACGGGCAGACGGTGGTGTAGGCAGGGACGACCTTGGTCGTGACTTGGCCGACAGGGCAGTTTGGCACATCAGGAGCGCAAGATGTGATGGTGTAGGACTTTGTGGTGTAGACTGTGCTGGTAACCCATTGGGGAGGAGGGCTGATCGTGGGCACGGCGATGGCGGACGACGTTGCCGTGACGGGGCAGACCGTGGTGTACCAAGGAACAGTCTCAGTGACAACCTGGCCCTTGGTGCAGGGTACATCGGGCTTGCATGAGGTGACGGTAGTGATCTTGGTGGTGAAAACCGTGCTTGTGGTCAGCTGCTCGGGAATACTGAGTGTGTTCTTGGCGGACTCAGTAGCTGATTTGGTGCCGGTGGGCTTGTTTGAGATGGACACCGTCAGGGAGTTCTGGGCAGGTCTCGTGGCAGAACCAGTGGCAGGGCCGGTGGCCTTGTCGGTCACGCTGCCAGAGGCAGTCTTGGTTGCGTCTGCTGAGCCGGTGGCAGTAGCAGTGGCGGTGTGGGAGTTACCCATCGTGGTGGTCGGGAAATCCTCGTCGTCCTCATCGCAAGTGTCCGAGACAGTAGCAGACTTGGTCGCAGAAGCGCTAGCAGTGGCAGTGGCGTTGGAGCTCAATGTCGTAATGATTCGCGACGAAGCAGATCCAGTGGCAGACGCCGAAGAGTTGCCAAAGAAGGTGAGTGAAGCTGAGGCCGAGGCCGAGGATGATGCGGACGCAGAAGCAGACGCTGAGGCAGAACCGGATGCCGAAGCAGATCCCGAGCCAGATGCCGATGCTGATCCAGACACTGATGCTGAGCCAGTGGCCGACACGGAAGCAGAGGCCGAAGCAGAGACAGAGACGGAAGTCGAGGTGGAAGCAGAGGTAGAGGCTGAGGCAGAAACGGATGCCGAGGCGGACTGGCTGGAGCTCGAGGTCGTGGAGCTGGAGCTAGAGCTTGCCGAAGTGGTGGAAACAATGACAGACGAGGTGCTGGTGGAAGAGATCACGGACGAAGTCGAAGTCGAGATACTGATGGTGGAGGTCTTGGCGGGGATGGGATTGCAACCATACTTGAGAGCATCGGCAATGGCCTCGTGGAATGACTGTCCATTGATCTGGTTGATGGCGCCACGGGTGGCATCCCAGATGGAAACACCTCCAAAGTGCGGCTTGCTCTGGTACTTGCAGATCAAGTCCTTGATCGTGGAAGGAGGAGCATAACCGTTCCATCCTGACTCGACGCTGGCGAGGACACCAATGTAGAGCTTCGCGTCCTTGCTCTTGGAGGTCTGGGAAATGACTGTCTCCCAGTCGTCGTAGTTGGGAGTATCGGTGATCTGGCAGCCCGGGTTGTTGTAGAACTGGATGAAGAGGGAATCGAATTGGGCGTTGTAGATGAGCTCCTTGAGCTGGAACCAGGTGTCTGACGTCGGGCACTGGGGAGCAGCAGAAATATGGTAGATACCGCAGCTGCGAAGCTTCTCGACCATCTTGATCCAGGGCTTTTGATCGGCTATTGTTGAAGTCAGTATCATCATCCATCATGAAAAGGGGCAATCTTATCAACATACCATACTTGAACTCAAGATCAAAGTCGAAACCGTCAACAGCAATGTGCTCAGTCTCGCTGATATCAAAAGGACGAGGGCCGTTCCATCCCTGATCATATGGACCAAAAGTCTTGTGCAACAAATCACCGAATTCATGGCCATCCTGCTCACTGTCAATGTCGTAGCTGCAGGGGCCTCCAGTTGGGCAGTAGCCACCAATAGCCAGGAGAACCTTGATGCCCTTGGCCTGGCAGTACTGGATATCCTTCTTGACGTAATCGCAGTTCATAATTAACTTGGTGTCTTCGCCAGTCTTGGGGTTCTTGTAGTAGACCTCGCCACCGCAGTGGCCGGCAAAGTTGGTACCGGGGTATCCAGCGCTGTTCTTGGGGGAGTATGTGACGAAGGACAGAGAGACGGAGGTGACGCCCGGAGCATCACAATAGCTTGAAAGTCGGTCGGTAGGCTGACCATATTGTCCCCAGTAAAGGTTGAGTCCGAGAAGTGGCGAGGCACTTGTGGTTGTCTGTGAAGAAGAATGGGCCAGGGCCGGGCTGATGGCCGCGGCGGCGGCAACGAATGATTTGCTGAAGAGCATGTTTGTTGTAGTAGTATTAAGCAATTAAGTGTTTTCGTACGTAATTCGCAACGACTGTAAGGTGGCCGAGGCCGTGGAAAGAGTGTAGATGTGATCTAAGATCAACGAAAGGACGCAAACACGAATGTTTGCAAGATGGTGAAGACACACCGTTGGCTCTAGCTTCTCGACAGGAACAGAGATGGAGTGAGGAAATCAGGAAAGAGAGAAAAGAGAGGTTACATGGAATGGCGGAAGAAGGCTCCCATTCATAAGTGAACCATTGCCGCTCTCCACGAAGCGGCGCGACAATGTAGTGACTAACTACATTGAGGGACGGTTGAAGAAAACTGCCTAGAGGCAAATTGAGTTGTGGGTGTAAGCCATGGTGAGGGGTGCTAGGGACCAATTTCCCCCCCTCGTGAGGACTACTCTAGAGGTACGAATGGGCATTGACGCCCATGAGCGGCGCAGACCGCAACGGCGACGATGTGGGATGCGTATCCATTGATGTGTTAGCGGGTGGGTGTGCAGGCAATGCGGGCGACGGCGTGGTGGTGAGCGGAGTTGAAGTTGTGACGATGGAAGGAGACGAGGTCCAAAAAAGTGGGCGGCTGTGGGCACACACCGGATGCACCACTTCCCAAAAGGGCAAGCGTTTCTACAGTGGGCGCCTTCTCGGGCGGCGCTCCAGGCGACCCAGGCGTGGTGGCTCTCGCTGCCCGGCGCACGACAAAGGCGGCCGGTTCCAATGAAGCTGCTGAAGGGACAGGAACAGGACTAGCGTCACCCAAGCGACGTGTGAATAGGGGTCGCTTCTCGTGTTTGATTCGCCGTGTCCCCTGAATTAGGTGGAACTACTGCCTGTCAGCGGCGCCAATGCAGACTTCAACCACGCTTCAACCACGGTTGGACCTGCAACCCACAGCTCTGGGCCATCGGCGTTGGGCTTTGGTTGCATCGACGACATAAGCTGGCCGCCGTTCCGGTCCTAAAGCCGTCTTTTCACTAGCTGTGTCCTCAGCCCAGTTGGTGGAGAGATGATGAGAGAAATATCCCGCTAAACTGGGTTTCGATGATGGAGATGCCGTGGTGGTCTTGCTGCCTGTTTCCTGCGAGCACTCGGTCACCCCGGTCTGGCACACTAATTACTTCAGAGAATCCAGTCGAGTTGAGAGCAAGCTTCCAAAGACAGTATCTATGCGGACACATCTGTGGATTTCCCCGAAGAGGGCGCGACAGGTTGTGAAGATTCTGATTTGTATGTGAAAGGATTGGGCGAGATCACTTACATGAAGTCACCGACACGTGATAAGAATGAGATCTTTTTGGCCCCAACAAACACTGACTTTTGGGTCCAGGAAAAGGGGAGCTACGCATAAATCCAGCTGTACCTCAGCTAGACTAATGTGAGGTAGCTCGAGTTTCCCCGAGGAATCACGTTTTATCCGTCTTGGTGGACCGTGGCTCGCGCCTTACCGGCCGAACGGTGGAAGATGGGAAATTGGTGGCTGCAGAGAGGTGGCACACCGTCCAGAATATTTTGGGACTTTGGTAAACTAACAGCACCAAAGTTCGTTTCACACCCTCCCAGTCCAACTTTCACCACACCTCTCATCAGACGTGTTCTTGCTGATTCTTGTTGGCTGAGCTTAGAATACATCTGTCAATGACGCACGGTAGTAGTTGGCTACCTCCCTCTGACTACTCTGAGGATGTAATGCTGGCACGTGTCGCGCCCTCGTGGTGTTTCTGAGGCGTCGGGCATCTGCTGTTCGACGCGTCAAGGACTTCAAGAGGACTAGTTGCTCAATGGCACCGCTCATCAGCGGGTGGCAGTCGGAGACACATCTCATCTCCATGTAATTGGGTCGGCCCTTTGCTGTGTAGAAGACGGATGCAAATCCCTGCAAGTGACCAAGACCACGGTCCGATTCACTCGGGGCGGTTAAAGAAGAATCTCAATACCCATAAATTGGCATCGGGAACAGTCTTTTTCTGTATTTCATTCCCTGCACAATACTTCGCGTGCCAGGCGTGCCAAGAGTACGGTACTCAGCTGTGGTTTTGGACCTTTACTTTGGACCATTACGACTGAAGCGTTAGAGACTATCAATCTTTCTGTGTCTGAAGTTTGACAAGGTTCTGATGGAGACATGAATGGTAAATGGTAAATAATTAATTACTCCTGCGAACACTAGATGAACAAGAAAAGCATTGAAATCGTCGTTACTGAAGTTGGCCTCGGTGTTGTCCGAAAAAGGCAAGAGGAAGACGGGAGGAAGAGACAGGAACGACCCACATTCCTCCTACCCCGCCCGATCCTCAAGGTAACCGAACCACCTGGATGTCTTCAACCCCTGTCGACAGATCTCATTTGCTCCTTCAACTTCATCTCACGACCCTCAAATCGATGTTTGCAGGATTGACACCAGAAACCTGCGACCGGCAAGTGTCATGGCCAACACAGAGCATCATGATTTGTTGCGCCTCTGCTGCAATTGCTCCGGCTCATGAGTGTCGTAAGGTAGCCCACGAGATCATCGACTTAGACCGCCCGCTCACTCGGGACACAAACATGTTCAGCGGATCGATTTCAACTGTTCAACTTTTGTTTTCAACTTGTTTCATTTTGAAGTTGAGCTGTGCTCTTGAACTTGAAGAGCCCTGCCGTACGGCAGTATACTATCGCGGTCCCCTCCCGCTTCCGTGTTGTTCTTTCCAACTGTTGACGCCAGGTTACCTTCAAGTCAAATGAATAGGGTAAGTACCCATCAGTCGCTCCCTCCTTCACTTATACATCTCTATTCAGGTACTTGAATCCCAAGACCTTCCCAAATCACCTGAACACCACGCTTTCCAGAAATCAGGGAGACAAAAGAAATATGCACCACCTCTCCTACAACCTCGTCTCTACCAACTTCATCCCCACGTCATCCCATCGTCCTCGTCGTCGTGATCAGCCAGTCTCTCTTCCTCTGCGCCAAGTTGACCAATATCCTTCCATCTCAATGGGTTCTGCTCCCATCCCCACTCGATGTGGAAGTCCACACCGCGGGCCTCGAGAAACCATGCCACGAGACACTCTATTGAGCAAGGTGCTGGCGTTGGGCAGTCGCTTGCTAGGGGACCCGACGGCATAACCTCGCATCCCGAGAAATCGCGGAGCGCCGGTCGAGAGGGAGTTGCTGCAAGGTCGACCATCTGTTGGAACCGGTCGTACATGTAGAGCCAGTGGCCCATGGCCGCCGCGCTTCCGTACGCGATTTGATCGGTTGGTCCTATCCGAGTATCAGGTCAGCTGTAATGTTACATTAATTCAGGTGTCTCGCTGATATTCACATACCGACACCGACGCGCCCACTCATACGCGCACAGTAGAAGTAGTGTTCACCTCGAGGGTGTGGCAGAATGAGTGTGTTTGGGCCCAGCTCCTCCAGCGTCTTGAATTGTGGTCTCGCCCATAACGACGTGTCCGGCCGAATCCGCAGCACCGTGTCATGGGTGTATCCGTTGGTGACACTCCAAGCCCACCACCTCTCCGCCGCCAACGATACGGTTCTTAGCTGATTGTTCAGTCTGCCCAGTCTTTCGCCACACGGTGTCGCCGCCATCGCCTCCGTGCCGCCGGGATATTCCACCTCTGTCTCGCTCACAGGCAAAACGTCGACCGATCGCAAGTGTGAGCCGTAACACTCCCTCAGGTTCGCTTCAATGGACTCCTTGGTTCGGTTGAACACATCTAGGTCACCAGGCTCGTAAAGCATGTAGGCGAAGACGTCGATCCTCGAGAAAGCCGGGTGGTCGGCGATGAGCTCCGACATGTGCGTCTTGCATGTAACGTGGTTGGTCCTGTACAGGCCGGCAATGATGACAGCCAGACTGCGCTCCTTTTCGCGCTCACTCGGTGGCACGTACAAATCGCATAGCCCAGGAATCGATAGTCTCCCCGTATCCGACAGCTCGAGTTGACCAGAGCTTCTCTTCGATTTGGCGATTGTTTGCGAGCCGCCGTCCTCGCTACGTCCCATAATGCCTCCCTGAGTCTTCTTGCAGGCCGGCTCGAGGTCGCTATGCCAAACCGTCGTCCATGTATTCTTCAACATGGCGTTTAGTACGATACGAACATGGCCCTGTTTATTCTCAAGAATGACTGTGCGCCCGCCCTTGTGCAAATCACCTGTCGCGGTCCACCACACGGCATGAGAGCTGCCGTCATCATCAACCCTGTTGAGAACCAGGTCGCCGTCATCCTGCAGAACGAGAGCGTGACGACCGCTAGGCGATGCGAAAATAGGCGTTCCCGCGGACAAGAGGACCCCGTCAGCGTCCGGCGTCAAAACGGCTGTGCGTGAGCCGGCACCGTTATCGCCACCATCGCTCCCGGATGGCGCCTTCGGTGTAGACTCTGGCGTAGGTCGGTGTAAGCTAGGCACTGGTAGTCCGGAGCTGGCGACGTGCCAATGTGGCTGCAGTACAAAGATCGCAGACAATAAGAAGATGAAGAAGGCGCCAATGAGGACTTTCGACCGGCGAGAGGAGCCATTCCTCAGTACTGTCCATCGAGAATGGTTTGCGATCATGGTGTGGTCGTGTGTCGGACCCATGGTCCTTTGGCTTCTGTTAAGTTTCCGCTCTCTTACAGCTGTTCCCGCTTGCTCCTCGTGCTGATGTTGTGAAGGAAATAAGTTGACAAGAAGGGGAAAAGGTATAAATCCAGAAACCCTTCAACGGCCCTTTCGGTATGAGTATGAGTGAAGGGAACCGATCTTAATCCCTCTGTAGGAACTTGAGCGAACACCCCGCGCTATATCAGATGACGCTCGAACCGGCCGTTGGGCTCAGACCTCCTCCTTTTTGGCAGGGTGAGTAAACAACTCCTGCGATATGTGGACACAAGTGGGTTGGGCGAGAACGAAAATAGACTTTGTGTTTTGTTGCGACGACTCGTAAGCTGCCTTTTCTCGCCGGAGCAACCCAGGGGACGGTGGCCGAAGCGGCAAAGGGCGGGCACTTATTTT